TTGGTATCCGGCAGTGCTGTCATCGCCACCTTCCAGATGGGCCTGAAGGACCAAGGCCTCGCCCAAATCCAACCTCCCAGCTCTTAACTCCTCCTCACCTTGCCATTGGCTTTACTTACCCAGAATCACCCCCCCCCCCAACCCCAACTTCTTGTCCCCTACTGTGAGTTGCATTGGCTGAGCTGGCTGTTCCTTGGGCACTGGCTGAGGAAGCTGCACACACTGTGCCACCTTCTCACAGAAGCCTGGGGTCTGGAACCCACGTGCCCTGGGTCACTGCATCCTGACCCGGACCCAGCTCCGGGATCCAGATAACAGACGCTGCAGCTCGCTCCCCACCATCCCGGACCTCCAGCTCAGCCCACCTTCTCCTCCACCTGCTTGACCCACTGGGAAACCAGGCCTTTCCAGGTTAACTCGGGTTAGGCACTGCACCTCTCCTGCAGCTTTTGAGGACGCACGTTCCTCTGGCAAGAAGCCACAGTAATTCCCAAATTGTCCGTGTGGATCAAGTTATTATTTTTCCGGGCTCTCTGGGAGGTCTGAGGACAGGGAAGGAAGGGTAACACATGAAGTCTGCAGTGAATCCCACACTTGCCAACATCCTCGCCGCCTCCGCCGCGGAGGGCAGGGGGCGGGGAGCAGGGGCCTCTCCCGCCTTCCCTCTGCTCCCTCCAAGGTCCACATCCAGTCCTCTCACTGGCAAGTTTGGGGAAAACTTCGGATGACAGCGCAGCCAGAAGCTCGGAGGGCACGCGTGTCTCCTCCACCGGCAGGTCCAGCCCACTTGGGCTGACATTTGAACCCTCATCCCGCAGCCGCTCCCCGGCGCCCCACCCTGGCGATGTCCGCGCAGAGCCCGCCTTTGGATCAACAACCTGCGTGCGCACATCTGGAGGAATTACGGTAACGCCGACTGCGGCGCTTCGCTGGCTCTAGCTCCCCCGCGCGTCCACAGCGAGGATTGCAACGTTTGGGGGAGGGTTGGAACCCAGCGGGCTCCGCCCACTCCTGGAGGGGAGCCGGGGAGCGAGGCCCTGCCTTAAATTACTTTTCATTCCTGCCAGAGTCGCCTCCTGGACTCCCAGTGGCTCGAGTCTCCCGTGGCCACGGGTCCTGGACACCACTGAATTAATTTTGGAAGACAGGCACGCACAGAACCGCCCTGACAAATCCAAGGCTTGCTGTGTGTCCCTGGGTGAAGTATTACCCTCTCTGAGCTTCACTTTACTCCACTAGCGTTTGCCTAAGATGATGAACTGGGGGCCTGGCACGATAGCCTAATGGCTAAATCCTCGCCTTGCATGTACCGGGGATCCTACATGGGTGTCAGTTCATGTTCCAGCTGCTCCACTTCCCAACCAGCTCCCTGCTTGTGACCTGGGAAAGCAGTCAAGGATGGACCAAAGCCTTGGGTCCCTGCACCCAAAAGTGGGAAATGCAGAAGAAGCTCCTAGCTTCGGACTAGTTCAGTTCTGGCCATTGCAGCCACTTGGGGAGTGAACCAGTGGATGGAAGATCTCTGTCTCTCCTTCTCTCTGAAAATCTGACTTTCCAATAAAAATAAAAATAATTCTTAAAAAACAACAACAACAAAACAAAAGGATGAGCTGGAATGGCACAGGTCTTCACCCACTCACTATGTGCTGGGGCCATCCAGGGGGGATTTGCATGGGACCACACAGATGGAGGGGCAGAGCTAGGCCTGGCCTTGGGATCACAGGTTCACAAGTGCTTCAGGACAGGGCGTGCAGTGCAGGCTCTGTGGATGGAAGGGGTGTCCAGGGACCTTCCTGAAAAGTCACCTCTTCTGATGGGGCCTTCATCCCTCCTGATGGCCTGCTCGAGTGGGCAGGGAGCCCATAAGAACACCCAGGGCTTTTGTGGAGAGAACAGGAGAGACTTGTCCAGGCCACACAGCTGGGCGGTGAGGACCTGGCTGGGAGCCCGGTGCTCATGCTGCGGCCTCCTCTGCCTTTGGGTGAGCAGTTCTCAGGTGGGCGTGGGAGGCTCTGTACTGATGACTTCCCTCCTGGCACCCCTCCAGGGGCTCCCTGCTGGCCACCACTGTCCTCAACGGGCTGGAACCTTCTGTTGCCTGCCGCTCCTTGGGGAATCCCTCCTCCAGCCCAACAGATGCCATAAACAGAGAGACCAGTGGGGCACGGACTTCCAAGGGCAAGTGCAAGACCAGCAGACATTTTCCCTTTCTCGGTGTATGAACAACTTTTTTAAAAAGATGTTTATTTTTATTAGAAAGTCAGATATACAGAGAGGAGGAGAGACAGAGAGGAAGATCTTCCAGCCAATGATTCACTCCCTAAGCAGTCTCAATGGCTGAAGCTGAGCCAATCCGAAGCCAGTAACCTCTTCCAGGTTTCCCACGTGGGTGCAGGGTCCCAAAGCTTTGGGCCATCCTTGACTGCTTTCCCAAGTCACAAGCAGGGAGCTGGATGGGAAGCAGAGCTGCCGGGATTAGAACTGAAGCGCGTATGGGATCCTGACATGTGTAAGGTGAGGACTTTAGCCGCTAGGCTATCGTGCCAGGCCCTATGCACAACTTCTGTGTGTTATGGAACATACATAGTGAGTGACATCATTCAGTAGATGAATTGTGGATACTTTTTCCTTTGTCATGGCGTAGTTCTTTTGGTAGTGAACATAATTAAAAAGACAAGATATTAGAAAAGTTATTTTAAGATTCTCCTCCATTTTTTTTAAAGATGTACTTATTTTTTTTATTGGAAAGGCAGATTTACAGAGGAGAGACAGACAGATTCATCCTCTGATTTACTCCCCAAGCGGCCGACACGGCCGGGGCTGAACCAATCCGAAGCCAGGAGCCAGGAACTTCTAGGTCTCCCACACAGGTACAGGGTCCTAAGGCTTTGAGCCATGTTCTATTGCTTTCCCAGGTTACTAGCAGGGAGCTGCTAGTAAAGCATAAAAAAAATAACAAAAAAAAAGCATAACAAAACTTCTGTATCTTAGATCAATCAAATGTGACAAAATATGTGGGAAGGTTCAACTTTTGTACATCTGAAAGTTTTCTAAATGAAACATCAGTGGGACCTAGCGCTGTGGCCTAGCGGCTAAAGTCCTTGCCTTGAATGCTCTGGGATCCCATATGGGTGCCAGTTCTAGTCCCAGCAGCTCCACTTCCCATCCAGCTCCCTGCTTGTGACCTGAGAAAGCAGTGGAGGACGGCCCAAAGCCTTGGGACCCTGCATCCGAGTGGGAGACCCAGAAGAGCTCCTGGCTCCTGGCTTCGGATTGGCTCAGCACCAGCCGTTGTGGTCACTTGGGGAGTGAATCATCAGGTGGAAGATCTTCCTCTCTGTTTCTCCTCCTCTGTGTATATCTGACTTTGCAATAAAAATAAAATAAATATTAAAAAAAAAGAGAGAAAGAAACATTGGGGAAGAAGATTTTCAATCTCCCTCCCACGGGCCACGGGTCTCACAGCCCATCAGGCTCAGGGGCCTGGCAAGGAGCAGCCCCAGATTCCAGCAGGTGTGTACCTGACAATAACACCCAGGTCCCCTCCAAACGATGCCTGTGTGCCTGGGACCTCAGACCTACATGGCTGGGGCTCCCTCTAACCTGGAATCCCCCAAACCTACACAGCCAGAGCTCCCTTTAACCTCAGGACCTCAGACCCCCACAGCCAGGGCTCCCTTTAACCTGGGGAGTTTGGGCCCCTTTCAGTCTCCCTTCCTCCCACCCCTTCTCTGGGGCTCTCGTGATGAACAAAAGAGCTTAAAGGGAAAGGGGGTGGATAGCCAGCAAGCAGGTACACAAGCATGGGGGAAGTTCAACAATATTGAGGTGGGAGTCTTCAGGAGCAGATACCCTGTGGACAGTGGGGCCGATGGACGTGGTCCTGGGAGTACAAGGGCAATGAGGCTGGGTGGAGGATGCGGGCTGTCACAGGAGTGTGCAGCTACAAACGGCAGTGGTGAAGCAGCAGCCCTGTGTCCCAGGTGGCAGCTGGCCGCTGTGCCAGCCTGCTGCTCCCTGGCTCCTGCGTTCTTGCCCTTTGGGGTGGTGCCATCCTCTGCTCACCTGGTCTCAATCAGCATCCTGTCCACCTGCCACTGCTCCTGCAGGAGTTCTTGAAAATCAGACCACCTGGACCCGGAGTGATGACTCCATTGGCAAATGCTTCCCTTGTGTTTGCTGGGATCCCATATGGGCACTGGTTTTTGTCCTGGCTGCTCCACTTCCCATCCAGCTCCCTGCTTCTGGCCTGCGAAAGCACTCAAGGACGGCCCAAAACCTTGGAACCCTGCACCTATGTGGGAGACCCGGAAGAAGCTCCTGGCTTCGGATTGGCTCAGCTCCGACTGTTGTGCTCACTTGGGGAGTGAATCATCAGACAGAAGACCTTCCTCTCTCTCTCTCCTCCTCTATGTATATCTGACTTTCCAATAAAAATAAATAAATCTTTTTTATTTTTATTATTTTTTCATTGGAAAGGCGGATATACAGAGAGGAGAGACAGAGAGGAAGACCTTCCGTCCGATGATTCACTCCCCAAGTGAGCGCAACGGGCCGATACTATGCCAATCCGAAGCCAGGAGCCTCTTCCGGGTCTCCCACGCGGGTGCAGGGTCCCAAAGCTTTGGGCCGTCCTCGACTGCTTTCCCGGGCCACAGGCAGGGAGCTGGAAGGGAAGCGGGGCTGCTGGGATTAGAACTGGCGCCCATATGGGATCCCGGGCGTGCAAGGCGAGGACCTTTAACCACTTGCGCCACTGCGCCGGGCCCAAAAATAAATAAATCTTAAAAAAAAATAGGAAAGCAAATTAGGCTGTTTGTGCTAGATCCTTAGCCTGCTGGGTCAGCAGCAGGAGGTAAGGACAGTTACTGACCCTCTCTGACCTTACACCCTCCTCTATAAATTGGTGCCCACAGTGTCCGTTTCATTGGGCAGTCAAACATGATAATCTATACAAAATGCTCAGGCCTGGCATTTTGTATAGGAACCATGTCGGGGGGATGAAGGAGCTGATGGGGAGGAGGGTGAACGTCAGGGCCAGAAACCACGTGCATGCTGGGCTCCTCCGCATCCGGGCACCATGACAGCACCACAGTGCCATGTGGCCATGCAGGGGGATCTACTCCTGGAGCTGGGGCCAGCGCAGGTGGCCGGGGAGGGGAACTCAGGCTCTGTCCTTTGTCTTAGGGTTTCTGAGACCTGCAGGGGTTTGGGGTCTGGCCCAAGGGTACAGGGAAGTCTGGGATATGGAGCTAGTCCCTGCCAATTGCTCAGAGTAAGATCTCAGTGTTCCTCCATTCCCATGCTCACTATGGCCCATCTCAGAGGGCCCCCAGGAAGGAGAGTTTAAAGCCAGGAGAGCAGGGGTCAGAGGTCGGAGGTCAGCAAGCCAAAGCTGGAGTGGTATCTGTGCTCAGGTGTCCAGGTAAGGAGCACAGATGGAGTGTGCAGGAAACAGTGTCCCAGGCAGAGTGAAAAATGTGGCAGAAATCCTGACAAAGGGAGAACAGTTGGGTCCAGCAAGGCACCATCGCTCGCCTGAGACCTCAGAGCAAGCGCTCCCCTTCCTTGCCAATCGCAGGCTGACAATGACAGAGGACAGGAGTGAGCAAGAGAAGGGAGGCTGCCCGCCCCCAGGTCTGTTCCGAGGAGCTCGGGGCAGCATGCCAGGGAGTGTACTTCCACCGTGGTGGGCAGTCAAACCCTTCAGCCCCTCACCTCCAGGAATGAACAGCAAGCACAAAGGCTTTGAGGTGGAAAATTCAGGGCTTTTCTGAGAAGCAATGTGGAGTGAGGGTGGGTAATAAGGGAGGTGGTTGGGGGCCTGGGGTTGGCAGGCCGGCCGAGAGCAGCGGGAAGCGGGCAAGAACTCTTGGTGGGGGACAGATGGAGCCAGTCTGCACTGCATTTGCTTCTGCAGCTGCCATGTGTAGGATGAGAAGAGGGAGCTAGACTGGGGCTGGGTCCCCAGCCAGCTGGCCACCAGTGCCTGCAGAAGGCCCTCTGGCCTACAGACCAGCTGTCCTAGTGGGGAGGGCAGCGAGGCAGGCCTGGTGGCAGTGACCGGATCCTTGCCTCTCCTGGCAGGTGGGCAGAGTGGCTCTGCACTGGGCTGCAGGCACGGGGCACGAGCAGGCAGTGAGGCTGCTCCTGGAGCATGAAGCGCTGGTGGACGATGCAGATGTGGTACGGGGCCCCTCGCAGGGACATGTTGGTGTGTGTGTCTGCTTGTCTGTCTGTCTCCGGGGTTGGGGCAGGGTCTGGTGGGGGAGCAGGGGCAGGGATGGTGGTCAGTTATGATCCCTCTGGGTCTGGGAGCTGGCTCTCGTTGCTGAGACTGGCACAGGTGGGTGGGAGCACTTTGTGTTCCCATTTTCGGTCTGTCCGTGTGTTTCAGCTGCACCGGCACAGCCAGGAGGGCAGGATGAAAACCCACTCAGCAGGGTCACCAGGACAAAGAGCTCCAGCAGAAACTGCTAGCACTTGAGCCAAGAATTGCATGAAGTTTGACAGTCATGCTGAGTTGTAGGGCAGGTATTCACTGCTGAGACAGAGGGAGAGAGAGAGAGGAGAGAGAGACAGGGAGAGAGGAAAACTTATGGGGTTTTCTGTAAGTTTGGGAGGAATGCCCAATGACCAACAATAACAATGACTTTTCATAAGGATTCACTTAGAATCTAAAAAAGCACAAAACTTGAAACTTCCCTGCAGTGCCAACACACTTTTTTTTTTTTGTCCTGGCTTCTCTGCTCCCAGGAAGGGGGCTTGATTAGGAGTTGGGGTCAGGATCCCTGTAGGGGGGCAACCTCACCCCCTCCTCTTGCTGTCTCACCCCATCTGCTCCCTGGACCTTCGTTAGAGGTAGGCTAAGGGTGGAACAGGGAGGGGAGTGTTGTCTTGGGTGCCTAGTACAGATGCGTTGGTGAAACCTTGCAACGTCTTGCGTGGCTCTTTTTCCACCAGGTCTTCTGCTAGGACCTGAGCCTTGTGAGAGAAGGTCTAGGGAGAACAGGGAGGGGAATCCTACTCCCCGTGCAGACAGCAATGAATACATCCTGTGATGTAACCAGATGGGCACGCAGACTTCAGTTATAGGCATGTAGAGGAAGTATCTCAGTCAGTTTTCTTTATTATTATTGTTTACAAATATTTATTTATTCATTTGAAAGGCAGAGTTACACGGACAGAGGGTGAGACAGAGAGAGCTTCCATCTGTTACTTTATTCTCTGAATATCTGCAATGGCTAGAGTAGGCCAGACCAGACTAAAGCAAAGACTTCATATAGGTGCCAGAGCCCAAACACTTGAGCCATCCTTTGTTGCTTTGCCAGGCCCATCGGTAGGGAGCTGGATTGGAAATGGAACAGCTGGGACATGAACTGGTGCCCATATGGGATGGCAGCATTGCAGATGGTGGATTTATCTGGCCCCCATTTTTTAATTTGAAGAGAGAAATAGTTTCTATCAGCAAATGTTCATAACAATAGGCATTGGGCCAAGCTGAAGCATGGAGCTGGGGAACTCAGACATATAAGTGACAGAGACCCAAGTACCTGAGCCATCCCCGCTTCCTCTCAGGGTCTGTATTAGCAGGAAGTTGAAGCCAGGACTCCAACTCTGGTGCCCCAATGTGGAAAGTGAATATATTTTTTTAAAGATTTATTCATTTTATTTGAAATGCAAAGTCATGTGGGGAGAGATATCTGTCTGCTGGTTCACTCATCTAATGGTCACAATGGCCAGAGCTGTGCTGGTCTGAAACCAGAAGTGATGGGCTTCTTCCGGGTTTACCACGTAGGTACAGGGGCCCAAGCACCTGGGCCATCCCCTGCTTCTTCCCCAGGCCATTAATCGTGGAGCATCTGGGAAATGAACCAGTGCCCATAGGGAGTGCTGGTGCTGCAGGCAGAGGCTTAGCCTGATATGCTATGTGCCAATGCCTAGTGTGGACATCTTAACTGGCATTGCCTCCATCAGGCCAAGCACCTGCCCTCTTATCTGTTTTCCTCTGAGCTAACTGAACACCACAGGTGGGTAATTTGTAAGAAAAAGCAGCTTATTGGTCCCACAGTTTGGAAGCTGGAACGTTCAAGGTCTGGCAGCTGTGAGTGTGAGCTCCTTGCTGGTGGGGACTGTCCATGCACATGGTATCCTGTTATAAAGCCACAGTCAGGCCCAGTACAATGGCTTAGTGGCTAGATCCTTACTTTGAACACACTGGGATCCCATATGAATGCCAGTTTGTGTCCCACCTGCTCCACTTCCCATCCAGCTTGCTGCTGGTAGCCTTTGAAAGCAGCAGAGGACAGCCCAAAGCCTTGGGATCCTGCACTTGCGTGGGAGACCTGGAAGAAGCTTCTTGCTCCTGAGTTCAGATCAGCTCAGCTTTGGCCATTGCAGCTATCTGGGGAGTGAACACTGGATGGAAGATCTTTGTCTTTTCTTCTCTCTGTAAATCTCCCTTTTCAATAAAAATAAATAAATCTAAAAAGAATGAATAAAGTCAGTCCTTTGGATGAGGACCCAAGCCTTATGGCCTCATTTAATCATTAATATCTCCCAAAATTCCCACCTCCAAATACTATAATCAGATTAAGTCTGCACTCTCTTCCTTGTTCACAAAGAAGATTATGTTTTAATGTGGGTTTTGGTGGAGATGCTCAAAGCTTAATGGGGAGACATTTCAGCAGGAAAATACTGGGGAGGAAGCTAGGTGTCTAGTGATATGCCCCTGGGCTGTGTCCTGGACAGCTCCTGGGGATCAATGCTGGTGTGAGACAGTGAAGTGTCCCTGGTGCCCCCCCATCCTGTTCCCAGGGCTCTCCCTGCCCCATTCCTGACACTTCACACCTCATACTCCCCAGCCTCCAGGGGCTTTTCCCTCTGGAACACGCCCAGTGTGAGCACACCCTTCCAGTGCTGGCTCTCTTAATAGCTTCAGCCCAGACCAGTATCCTAACCCTGAACCTAACCCTAACCCCTCTGTGGCAGGGCCAGTCCCTTCTGCAAGATTCCAAGAGGATAAGCTTACATTCTTGTGGTCCCTGCTGGCTCTCGTGGCTTCTGCTCCTGCTGGCCATTCTCTTGAAGGTTTGCAAATAGTCGTCCACCTGCCATTGACCTAGCATGGCTCTCAGTCCTTGTCCCTGATTCCCATAGAGCCTCCCTGAACCTGAGGACTGGGGTGTGGGATGAGCTTCCACCTGCAGAGGGAGGGTGCTTTGCTCACACAGGACAGCAGAGTCAGGAGCAGCGAGACGCCCCTGTCTGCAATCTGTCTAGACCTTTCTATGTGCTGTGCCCAGCCTCTGCCACTACCACGTGTCTGCACCAGCACCTCCCTTCCCCCAGACTCCTGTAGGGCAGTGCCCCTTGTTTGGGAAGCTTAGAGTCTGCTGCTCGCTCAGCTGCCACTGGACTTCCATGCCCACTATGGCCAAGGTGCTCAACCTATCCAGCTCCCCTTTCCCCAGAAGAGGAGTTCTGGTGCCTCCCCGCCCCAAGACCCCTTTCTTGGCACCTCTCACACACAAGGCTCCTTGTGGGGTCATACCCATCCCCACAGGGGACCGAGTCCAGGGGGAGGGTGAAGGGTGAAAGACTCTGGGGGCACAAGCGTAGTGCCTTCCCCAGATGCAGAACTGAAGCTGTGCCATGTGGGGCTGGTGTTCTGGCTGCCCCAGAGGCTGCTGGCGTGGGAACTGCAGGGCGGCAGGTCTGGGTACATCATTGTAAATTTCCCATTGGGCATGATGTTTGATACTTCCCCTCCCCCAAGGCCTTGTCAGTGCAGTCCTAGTCGTCTGCCTGCGCAGGATGCTGAGGTCTCTAATCACAGCAAGTCAGAAGGCAAGTAGAGCGCATTTTCCTCTTGAAGCTGTGATTATGAATATCTCTCAGACTGCTTTCTTTTTTTTTTTTTTTTAAAGATTGGTTTTACTTTTATTGCAAAGTCAGATACACAGAGATGAGGCAAGACAGAGAGGAGTCTCTTCTGTCTGATGATTCACTCCCCAAGTGACTGCAACAGTCTGAGCTGTGCCAATCTGAAGCCAGGAGCCAGGAACTTCCTCCTGATCTCCCACGAGGATGCAGGGTCCCAAAGCTTTGGGCTGTCCTTGACTGCTTTCCCAGGCCATAAGCAGGGAGCTGGATGGGAAGCAGCCCCCATAAGGGATCCTGGCGCATTCAAGGCGAGGAGTTTAGCTGCTAGGCCACCGCGCTGGGCCCAGATTGGGTTTTTGAGGAGTGTGAGATACAGGCTGATCCTTGCCTGTTGACGCTGGGATTCCATTTGTGCACTGGTTCATGACCTGGCTACTCCACTTCCCATCCAGCAATACTGCTTAGGACTTGGGAAAGCAACAGAGGATGGCCCAAGTGCTTGGGACCCTGCATGCATGTGGGAGACCCAGAGAAATCTTCTTGCTCCTGGTTTCAGACCAGACAAGCTCTGGCTGCTGCAGCCAGCTGGGGAGTAAACCAGCAGATTTCTCTCTGTAACTCTGATTTTCCAAGCCAAAAAAAAAAATTTTTTTTTTTGGTGGGGGTAGTGGACATTTAGTTTAAATGGTTAGGAAGCCCTTGCCCCACATCTAGGGTGTGGATGGGCTAATTTGAAACTCAGGTCCAGGTCCTGACTGCAGCTTCCTGCCAGTGCAAACGCTGAGCTCAGGCAATTGGGTCGCGGCCAGCATGTGTGAGACTCGGATTTCTTCCCCAGCTCCTGACTCTAGCTCTAGCTGCTGGGGAATGAACCAACAGACGGGAGATCTTTTTTATTGGAAAGGCGGATATACAGAGAAAAGGACAGAGAGGACAGAGAGGAAGATCTTCCATCCGATGATTCACTCCCCAAGCGGCTGAGACAATCTGAAACCGTCCTGCTTTTCCAGGCCACAAGCAGGGAGCTGGATGGGAAGTGGGGCTGCCAGGATTAGAACCGGCAACCATATGGGATCCTGGTGCGTTCGAGGCGAGGACTTTAACTGCTACACTATCGAGCTGGGCCCAGGAGATCTTTTTTTGTCTTTCAAAAATAAAATAAAATAAAATAAAATTATCTCTTATGAACTGATGATGGGGGTAGATGGAAACTGTTTTATTTTTAGGTTTCATTTAGAGGGGACTAAAAGCTTGCAATAATATATCCACAAAACAAAACAAAAACACCTCCTGTTTTTTAAATTCCTAAAGCTGGGAGCTCTGTGGCCTGGGAGGCTCTTAAGGTTGCTAATGCCAAGTGGACACGGGGCCAGGTGCACAGCCACGCCCCCTCACCTGGTTCTCCTCACCTCCCTGTGTCCTCTCCCCTAGTTTGGGGTGAACGCACTCCTCCTGTCTGCCTGGTTCCGTCACCTGCGGATCGTGCAAATCCTGGTCAGCTTCGGGGCGAAGGTCCACTGTGAGAACAAGGTGAGGCTTTGGCTGGAGTCTTCCCTGTCCCCCCCTTGCTAGGGGCCTCTGCCTCTCAGCCTGAAGGTACACAGGTCTCTCCATCTCTGCTCCCACTGCCCTCTGCCCGCTGCCTACCTCTGCCTGACCCCTAGACCCCATCCCCTGAGAACCTTCTGGAAGCCCAGGCTGACACCAGTGCTGTGATGCTGGGACTCGCAGCTGTTTTCATTGAGGTTTGGGAGAAGGTCTGAGTGTGGCCAGGGAGTGTGAATGTGGTGGCAGATATATGCATGTGGTGGTGGTGGGGTGGGGGATGGCACCCTTGCCCTCCCTGCCTGTCCTAGCTCCCAGGGGTGGCTGTGATGGGGTAGAAGGAACAGAAATCCATTCACCAGTTTTGGCACCTTGGGTAAACCTTGGTTTTCTCCTCTGGGAATGGGGAAGTGGCCCATCTTGGAGCAGGGGGACAGCTCTGTCAGAAGAGGACCAGCAGCTCAGGGAACCTGGTATCTGTTCCCCAGGTTGTGTGTGGTTGGTTGGAGGGAGGGAGTGAGTGAGGGCGTGCTCCGGCCAGTGACACGCACAGAGCACTCTGTTCCTGGCTTCTTCGTTAGTGACTGGATCAGAAGTAATGTCTGGGACCTGTTTGCCCGTTCCGTGGGGGATGTTCTGGGGACAGCTGGTGATCAATGACCTCAGTGTCTGTCTTTGAGTCATTTTGCAGCTTATGATGTTTCTACTGTAAGTGCCCTCTTCTCCCCAAGCTCAGGGGTTACCTTCCTGACCCCTGTGACGATGCAAGCTCAGAGAGGCAGGTATCATTGGTCCCCGACCACACAACCAAATCTGAGTGGCTTGTCCTGTGGGCCCACTTGTTGTTGGCAGCGTTGTTCCTCGCGGGGAGGGGTGGCTATGTCTGGGAGACAGGCAGTGTGTGACAGGGGCCTCCCTTCGCATATCACCGGGGCCGCCTGGGCTTATTTGCAGGACGTCCTGACCTTACTGCACTGTGCTGCCCAGAAAGGCCACGTGCCAGTGCTGGTGTACATGATGGAGGACCTGGAGGATGTGGCCCTGGACCAGGCAGATAAGGTGAGAGCCACCTCATCGTTAGCTGGCCCCTGAGGCCCCTGGTGCTCACCAGGCTTCCTGCTTTCCTGAAGGTCCCCTCTAAGACAGGGACCCACTGGACTCTCAACCAGGGGAGCTGTTGGTCCGGAAGAGGGCTGGGCACGAATGGGCAGGGCTCAGGCAGAACATGTTCAGGTGGCTGTCAACCCTGACCATGGACCAGACAGGTGGGAGAAGGGAGCGCCTGCTCTTGGCTTCCTGGAAGAGGTGGTGTTTGCTGACTCACCTGGTTTGGGAGTACCATTGGGAAAAAAGGGGTGTTGGGGTGCGAGCAAACAGAGGAGGGAGCATCTACTGAGCTTCAGAGGGCGTCAAGGGCCCTCGGTGTGTGAATCCTGTGGGGGCTGGAACCGTGGGTGGGCAGGCTGGAGGGGGAACCTGCAGCTGCAGCCCCAGGGATCTGTCGTTTACTCAATGGGCAGTGGGGAGAGACCCCACAAAAAGGCATTGGGTGGCAAATAGGATCTGGGCTTTCCAGGGTAGGTGCATTTGGCCAGGGGAGGCACGAGGACAAGCTGCTGCAGGCCCAGAGTGGCTGGCAAGCAGAGCCACTTGGGCAGGCTGAGGAAGCCTGGCTCCTGTCTTTCTGGCCAGCTGGGCAGGACAGCGTTTCACAGGGCTGCTGAGCACGGGCAACTGGAGGCTCTGGACTTCCTCGTGGGCTCTGGATGTGACCAAGGCGTCAAGGACAAGGTACAGTGCCCGTGAGCCTCTGGGCTCCCTGCCAGGTTGCAGAGCCCCTACCCCATTTGCAAGTGCTGCCCCCTCACCTGTGCCCACCTGACTCTACCTGTACTCTTGGAAGGGCCCAGGGAGCAGGGCCTGGCTCCTGCCCATCCTGCAGGCATATTGCAGCCTACACCCGGGGCGAGCCCTGAGTTACAGTTTCTGGCTGCAGGAGATGCGTGCCATAGCCCTCAGGAAGAAGCTGTGATTAGCCGTGGTCAGGTGGCCTGGTGGCCTGATGGCTTGGCTATCTCTGGGGACAGGGGCTGTCTGTTGGTGGAGGTGTTGGGAAAAGCCTCATCCCTACCACTGGCTATGCTGTATGCTATGGTAACAGGTGGATGGGTGTCAACTCTCAGGGTAGAGAGTTGAAGCTCAGGGTTTTGCTCATCTGAGGAAGGGTGAGGGTGGGGGAGTGGAGGAGATGGCCCTGCAGGTGACTGCATCATGAAAGGTGTGGTAGCACATTCTAGACCATGCTTCTAACCAAGGCAGTGCCTCCCTCATTAACCCTTGCATTGGCGGGGACTGAGGTGGTGACAGTGAGCTCCCCAGACAGAGGCACCACAAGTGCCAGACCAGGAAGTGTGGTCACCAAGCGTTAGTTCTGTCTTCTCTTAGCTGGGGAAGATAAGGCCTAGAGATGGGGGTACTCTGGCTAAGGGCACACAACACGATAAAGGGAGGGCCGAGTGCAGGACCAGCACAACCCTGGTTCCTGGTGCTGAATCCTGAGTTCCTTGCCCTCCAGGGGCACTGAGCCCTGTGAAGGCTGCAACAAATCCGTCCACACTCATCCTCACAGGACCCCACAGCTCAGAGCAGCCCTAGCTCCTTCCTTCTGGAAACATGGACTGAGAAGGTTCTGGGAGTGCCAAGAGTGACACACCCAGGACAGCCCCTCACCAGGACAGGCTGATGGAAGGGGACAAAAATGACCGTCCCTTAGCAACTCAAGGAGAGCGGGAGCAGCAAACACAGAGGAGAGAAATGTGGGTGGTATGCAGGCGAGTCTTGCCATCAGAAAGTCAAGAGAGAGAAGTTTTGAAGCTTGCACCTCCCTCCTGAACTCTGCTTTCTGCTTAAGGATGGAGGGGTAGTGTACTGCATGCTAGTGAGGAATGTGGGTCAGGCCCTCCAGCTTCCTGAAGATCCCCTGGACACAGCCACTCCCCACCATGGCTGCCTTTCTTAATAGCCCCTGGCTCACAGCAGTGGCTGTGTGCGTGCCTACACAGGCAGAGGGCACGCAGAGGGAGCAGGGCGGAGCTAAGGATGGGGGGATTGCTATTCATTCATGTGGTATTCCAATGCTCATAAAGAAAGCCCAAGAGTTTCCTCTTGATCCCTTGTGAATGTGACTGTCCACTTATATGTGTGCAGCTTGACCAAGGGGTGGTGGACATTTCTCATTTTGAGTTGAAGTCCAAGTGCCTACTCCGTTACACGCTGGTGAGCGGCCATTGCTTGTCCCTGCCTTTTCTAGCCCTCTGCTTCCTCAGTAAGGATGTTCTTGTTTCTGGTTGTTCTTTCTGGAAGATCGATTTATTTATTTGAAAGACAGAGTTACAGAGGTGAGGGTGGAGGGGAGGGATGGAGCTTTATTTACCCTGCTTGTTCACTCTCAAAAATGGTTGGAGTTGCATTGGGCAGGAGCCAGGAGTTCTGTCTGGGTTTCCCAATAGGCTGCAGGGGTTCAAGCATTTGGGCCATCTTCTGCTGCTTTCCCAGGCACGTTAACGGGGAGCTGGATCAGAAGTGGAGCAGCCAGCACTGGAACTGGCACTCATAGGGGATACCTGCTACACCACAGGGCCCCGCCCCTCCCACCTAGTTCTTCAAGTATTGGGTCTGTTTTGAAAATATAAGGGAGGGCCCGGCGCGGTGGCGCAAGTGGTTAAAGGTCCTCGCCTTGCACGCCCGGGATCCCATATGGGCGCCGGTTCTAATCCCGGCAGCCCCGCTTCCCTTCCAGCTCCCTGCCTGTGGCCTGGGAAAGCAGTCGAGGACAGCCCAAAGCCTTGGGACCCTGCACCCGCGTGGGAGACCCGGAAGAGGCTCCTGGCTTCGGATCGGCATAGTATCGACCCGTTGCGCTCACTTGGGGAGTGAATCAATGGACGGAAGATCTTCCTCTCTGTCTCTCCTCTCTGTATATCCGCCTTTCCAATAAAAAAATAATAAAAATAAATCTTTAAAAAAAATAAAAAAAGAAAATATAAGGGAAGTGAGAACTTAGTTTGAGTTTTGGTTCTGCATGGCCTTGGCCCTGCTGACAGAGCAGCAGCTTGTCACATACTTGTGACAATCCCTCTCTAGGATTCCGGGGCGGTAAAGTAAGCGGGCGACCTCAGCGGGGCGCGGGGCTGTGTGCGAGGTCGTGTCCTTCCCCTGCAGGAGGGAAACACAGCGCTTCACCTGGCTGCCGGCCGCGGCCACTTGGCGGTGCTGCAGCGGCTGGTGCACCTGGGGCTGGATCTGGAGGAGAGGAACGCGGTGAGTTGTCCCTTGTGGAAGGCACAGAGATGAGTCCGGCCCCCCAGGCGTGCAGGAGCACGGGCTCTGGTGGTTCCCTCATGCCGGGAAGTGATGAGCCTAGCGTGCGTCCCCGGAAAGCTGCTGTGGCTCACAGCAGGGTGGTCAGCGGCAGAGGCACTGGACTAGCACGGAGGCTGAGAACAACTCCTACTGAGAGGGCGTAGCGAGCACGTCCAAGGACAGGGGTCTGGCAGTGCCCAAGGGCTTGGTCCTGTCGCCCCCCTTCCCCACTGCCACCTGCACCCCCTTGCCCTGTGTTTCAGGAGGGGCTGACCGCCCTGCACGCCGCTGTGGAAGGTGCCCATGCTGACTGCGTACAGCTCCTCCTCGACGCCGGCAGCGACGCCAACGCCCTCACCCAGGTAGCCATTTCCCGCTGGTTTTCCAGGTGCATTAGCTGGGCAGCTGGATCGCAAGAGGAGCAGTTCAGATTCAAACGAGCGCCCATGTAGGATGCTGGTATACACAACTAGGTCACGATGCCAACACCTTGGAGTGTTGTTTGGGTTTCTTGGGAGCTTACAAAGCCTCTGTGATAATAACGATTACCTCAGAAGCACATCACCCATTTTACAAAGAAGAAAATGGAGACTTACAGATTATCTTAGTTCATTTTCTTTTCTTTTTTTTCTTTCTCCTCTCCTGTCTTCAGTTGCTTTGTTGCGGTGTATGTTGCAGACCCCTCATTTAGGTGTTGCAGACCCCTCATTTAGGTGCACAGCTCCATGGTACCCACAGTCATGTTCCCATTCCTGTCATTTTCTTTCTAATATTTGCTAGGCTATTTTTATTTATGTTTAGGGCAAAGCAAAACAGGAAAAGGGAGGGGCGAGAGGACAGAGAGAGACAGAGGGAGAATATCTTCCATCTGCTGGTTTACTTTCCAAATGTCTGCGGCATCTAGGGCTACACCAGGCGGAAGCCCAGCGTTAGCAGGCAGCTGGATCAGATGCGGAGGCATGGCTCAACCCCAGGTACTCTGGGATGCGAGAGAGAGAGAGAGAGAGAGAGAGAGAGAGAGAGAGAGAGAGAGAGAAAGGAGCTTCCATCCACTAGTTGGGTCCCCAAATGCCCACAACAGTTGGAGCTGGGTGGGTGGTGAGGGCAGAGCTAGGAGCTGAGAACTCAATCCAGGCTTCCGCGTGTGTGCGTGGCAGGTACCCAGGTAACTTGGTCCACCAGCACTATTGTCTCCCGGGATCTGCATTAGCAAGGAAGCTGAGATCAGGGGCTGGAGCCAGGACTCAAACCCAAGCATCCTGTGGTGGGTCCCCGGGGACTTAGCCCCAAGGCTAAACACCTGCTTCCAAGAAGTAGGTTTTCTGTTGCTGACAACCTAACAGACATCACTGACTGGGCAGGTTGTTAAGAAGAGAGGTTCTTTCCTTTACAGCTGTGGTTGGAGGTCTGGGGGCTGCAGCTGCCTGGGTAGGGGCAGAGTCCTGAGGCAGTGCAGGGTATGCTATGGTGGGAGACAGGAGTGCATCTGGCTGTTGATCTCTTCTCTCTTTTAAAGCCACTGTGACTGTCACGGGGCGGGGGGGGGGTCTCCACCCGGTGACTGCTTCTCCTCTTGGTCACCTCCCTAAGGCCTCATCACTACGTACCAGGTTTGGATTAAGCTGCTGTCCTAGGCAGACCTCACAAGTGGGATTAAGCATCCTGAGTTTCCGAGGGGACAGACTGTATTTAAACTGCTACCGAGAGGTCTGTCACTTTGTCAGCAGCAAAGCTGAGGCTTAGCAGCCTGCTTGCCCATTGCTCCCCAGCATGGTTGGGGGTGCCCCCTGCTGTGGAGCTCCACCTGGGCTAGAGCCCTCCCAGCTCAGTCCTGGAGCCTGCTGCATGACCCTGGCCCAGGCCACCTCTTTCCCTCACTCTCTGTTGTACACAAGTCTGCGCTGAAAAATTCTCTCTGACTAGGAGAGGCAGCTGCATGGCCCCTCTCCAGACAGGGAGTTTGTGGTTTTGTTTCTTGTTTTGTTTTGCTTTTTGTGTTTAGATCAGCGACAAATTGATTTTATTATTCTTTTTAAAAGTCTTTATTTTATTTTCATTGGAAAGTCAGATATACAGAGAGGAAGGTCTTCTGTCTGTTGATTCATTCCCCAAGTGGCTGCAACGACTGGAGCTGAGCTGATCCAAAGCCAGGATCCCTGAGTCTCTTCTGGATGCAGGGTCCTAAGGCTTTGGGCCATCCTTTACTGCTTTCCCAGGCCACAAACAGGGAGCTGGATGAGAAATGGGGCTGCTGGAATTAGAACTGGCACCCATATGGGATCTTGGTACCTGCAAGAAGATGAGGAGTTTAGCTGCTCGGCTACAGCACCAGGCCCCGATTTTTTTTTTTTTTTTTTAAGATTTATTTTTATTGGAAAGGCAGGTTTACAGAGTGAAGGAGGAGAGACAGAGAAGAAGATCCTTCATCCTCTAATTAATTCCCCAAATGGCTGCAATGGCCAGAACTGAAACCAGGAGCCAGGAGCTTCTTCCGGGTCCTCCTGCCTGGATGTAGGGTCCCAAGGCTTTGGGCCAGCCTCCACTGCTTTCTTGGGCCACAAACAGGGAGCTGAATGTAAGTGGAGTACCAGGCACATGAACAGGCGCCCATATGGAATCTTGGCATTTCAAGCTGAGGATTTAGCCACTAAACTATTGTGCTGGGCCCCAAATCTGTTCTCTTAGCTGGTTCAGTTCCTTCAGGATCTGGAATTGTCTGTTCTAAATTTCAATCATGTTGTGCAATCAGAAATCAAAATACACATGGTAACAATAATAATACATGATAAAACTGTTCGAAAATAGAGGAATTAAGATGGTCTGCTTTAGAGATTATTTGGAGCTGGTGTTGTAGTCTTCCTCTAGGTAGCCACCTGCTCAGGGCCTGCCACCTGCTTGTTCTTGCCGGACAAGGAATTGCATGGACTTGGCTCTATGCCGCCGCCAGGGTTTGTGATGGGAGTAAGGAAGAAGCAGAGACCCCCCCACAAGCAGCTTTTACTGATCCCCATCCCTGGGCAAGTCATTCAATTTGCCAGCCTCAAGGTTTCATGGAGATAAGAGGCCCCTGTGGGGGGTGGAGGGTGGGTTGAGACCTAAATGGAACAATGAAGCCTAAAGTGCGTTGTCAGTGGTGCTGTGAGGGCTGCTGTCACTCTGCTTTTCTTCTAGAAAAAGCTGAGCTGCCTGCACTATGCGGCCCTCAGGGGCTGCGAGGACGTGGCCAGGGCGCTCATCCGAGCAGGAGGCTGCACCCAAGTGGCAGATCACGTAAGTGTGGGGCCTGTTTGGAGGGAGTCCTCATCATGGCCCAACCTGTGGCCACAGCAGGTGGAAAGGGGGCACTTTGGACCCTTGGAGACTGCCAGGACTAGAGGAGCCAGATCTTGTTCCGGTGGGATCAGGGTTAGAAACCCAGTTTGCCCTGAACTATTTACTGCTGTTCTCCCCCCCATGTGCGCACTGCGTCTAAGTGAGAATCTTTCACGTTTCTGACCGTAGCTTCTTAGCTGGTGTGTGTGTGTGTGTGTGTGTGTGTGTGTGTGTGTGTGTGTGTGTGTTTCCTTGGTTGGCTTTGAGGCCTGGCAGTACCACCATTTAAAAACTGAATAACTTTGGGGTGAGCTACTTCACCCTCCCTGGTCCTCTGTCTTCTCATCTGTCTATAGTTTCTTAGGACTCCATTTTGTCAATGAGGAGATAACTTCATTAGGTTGAAGATAGTTTCAATAGGAAGCTTTATTAGGAAACTAAAATAGCTTCTATATTTGCAATGACTGCATAAAAGACAGAGAAGAAAGGCAGATTTACTTATTTGTATTTGAAAGGCAGATTTACAGAGAGGAAGAGACAGAGAGCTATATTATTGTGGCTGGTACACCTTCAAAATGGCCACAATGGCTAGAGCTTGGCTGGTCTAAAGCCAGGAGCCAGGAGTTTCTTCCAGGTCTCCCACATGGGTGCAGGAGTCCAAGCACTTGGGCTGTCCTCTACTGCTCTCCCAAGCCACCAGCAGGTAGCTGGATCAGAAGTAGAGCAGCTGGAATGTAAACTGGTGCCCTTTTGGGATGCCAGTGCCACCGATGGAGGCTCAACCTGCTATGCTACACTGCTGGTCCCTATTATAACCTTTTTGTAATTAATAACTGAGGGTTTTTCTGACAACAAATGTGAATTTATACCATCAATGCTTGGCATTGATCCACAGTCTGTGATACTGTATCATCTACAGAGTGCGATGCTGTGGCAGTAAATCCACGTTGTCATTTAGATGGGGCCACAGACCCCCTCTGGTGGGCATAGAATTCTGCAACCTTGAGAGACCTTGGGTAAGCACTGATCCTTCATCTCATACAGAAGCACTGACCTGCTCCCTACATGCCGGTGGATGGAGAGGCCCAGAGCCACGGGCCCTCTTAGCCATGTGATGAGAACAGCACCCCTGATACTTATTAGGTGGCTGAATGTTTGAGAAGCTAGAAGGTTCCAAACCCACAAGCACTGAGTCCCACCCAGAGCTGGGGAGGACCCCTAACTGACAAATGTGCCCCCTTCCACAGCGGGGCACCTCTCCAATGCACCTGGCTGTGAGACACAACCGCCCCGCCCTGGTCCAGCTCCTCATTGATGCCCACAGTGACCTGGATGCCACTGACCATGTAAGTAACTGCAGGAAACCTCGGGCCCCTCCCGGGGGGGGGGCAGGGCCGGGCACTGGTCACCTAGCATGACCCCAGAGTTGAAGGGCTGTTGTTTTAGGTCCCAGAGGTTGAAGATGGCATCATTTTCATGTTCACATGTTGAGTACTTTAGAGGTTTTGTCCAGAGCCACACAGTACGGGAGTAAACATGTCCCTACAGTCAGCTGTCCTTGGGCGTCTTCCCTTGGTCTGGGTCTGTCTGGGAGCCTGCTGTCCCTGGGTGATTTTTTCCAGCTTGGCTTCCTGGCCACTTGCTTTTTCCCCAGAGGCAGCAAACGCCCCTGCACCTCGCCGCCGAACACGCCTGTCAGGAGGCGGCGGAGCTGCTCCTGGTCATGGGGGTCGACTTAAACCTGACAGATAAGGTACCTGTGCTTGCCACCCATCTGCCTTTCAAGATGTCCATGCCTCCCTCTTTGCTACCAACACCTCCTCCTTATTCTCCTTCAGGCTGTCCAAGCCTCAAAATACAGCAGTTCAAAAGCAGCCACTTTCAGGCAGCCTTCCCACCCTTCTGCTACCTTCACCTCTCTCCTCTTGGTCCATCAACCCCCTTCTCCCTGTTCCGTGGCTGCCTTTCCTTCTTTCGTGCTCCCCATAAGACTGCGAGTCACCTGGTGGGGAGTGGGAGGAGTGGAATAAGTGCCTCATTGCTGCCCTCCTACCCTCTACATGGGACCAGACTTGGGAGGACCTCGCAGCTCTCACTGTGCTCTGTGTGGCTACCTCTTGGGGTGGCTTCAGAAGAGCCTGGGTGGGCGGGGGGACTGGGGTAAGGTTGGGAGGTCACAGGCTCAAGAAGGAATGGGCACTTGTGCATGTAACCCAGCAAGGCCAGTCTGGGATGCGGAAGGCGAGGCTGCCTGAGGTTGCACCTGTGGGAGGGGACTGACTCTCTGTTTGGAGCTGGGCCAGGGCCAGTGGCTGGATGGGAGGAGCCGCTTCCTGTGTCACAGCTGGAGCCAAGGGCCTGGGGTCTGGTGGGAGACAGGCAGATGTCACAGGATGTGCCCACATCCCCTCCTCTGACCACGTGTGGGCCTGTCTCTGACCACAGGAGTGGTGGTCCCTGCCTGTGATGAAGAGGAGTTTCATCAGGTCCAAGGCTTTCTAAATAAATGCAAGAGTTGCCGGAATTATTACCATTGCCTTTAAAATTCTTCTTAATTTTTGAAATTATTTTTCAGTTGTAACTTACTATTCACCTCTGCCTTACAGCAGGGGAAGACTGCCCTGGCTGTGGCTGCCCGTGGCAACCATGTCAGCTTGGTGGACATGATCATAAAAGCAGATCGTTTCTACAGGTGGAAGAAGGTATGGAGGCCCACACGTGCTTTCTCTGTGTTGGAAAGGGGCCAGTCATGGCTCCGGCTGGAGATGGCTTTCAATCCCAGTTTTGACTGGAGGGTGTTAATGCTGGTCTCGGGCACCACTACGAGTAGCTGGATGAGCTTCCAGACACACTGACTCACACAAGTGGACAGAGGGGACAGTGCCGGTGTAGAGGGGCCTGGCTGTAGCTCCTGGCTGACAAGTGCATAAATGCATGCCTGTGCGGGTACCATCTCACAGCCATCCCCAGGGACTCGGACACGTTGTGTTCTGAGCTCTGAGGAAAATGTGCTGGGATGGATTAGTGATTCTGCGGTGGGCTTGGAAGAGGAGAATGGCAGAGTGCAGGGGACTTGTGGTATCCCCAACACAAACTAAGACAGGCTCTGTTGTCCTTGCTATAAAAAAAAAGTTATGATACAAATCTTTTTTTGCATTTTCTTCAGTTTTCACAATTAGTATACTATATAAGTTGCATATTGCAAAAATTAGTTTTCTTTAAATGCTTTCATTTATTTTACAAACCCTTTTATTTTGCTTATATCACTAGTAAGTTTTAACACTTCTAAGGAAGCCTTTCATTAATACCTGGACCCAAGTTTAAGCTGAGTCAATTAAATAACCTTAGATATTCTAAACTAAAATTTGTGGGATAGACTTTCTTTTTGAAGTGCTTCAACTGCTTCCCAAGATCTTTAAAATTATCTCAGTAAATCCAGTAAATTAAACCAAAAAAATCCAAGCACATAATGTACACCAGTGTTTTGGTCAATGAACGAAGGCTGTATAGATGAGGGTGCCTGGAAAAGCTTGTGGAAACTGGAAGAGTTGCTTTTTTTTAAAAGAGATTTATTTATCTTTATTGGAAAGGCAGATTTACAGAGAGAAGGAAAAAGAGAGAGAAATATTTTCCATTTGCTGTTTCACTTTCCAAGTAGCCGCAACAGCCAGAGCTAAGCTGATCTGAAGCCAGGATCCAGGTGCTTCATCTGCGTCCCCCACGTGGGTGCAGGCTGCCCTCAACTGCTTTCCCAGGCCACAAGCAGGGAGCTGGGTGGAAAGTGGAGCAGCTGGGATACGAACCAGTGCCCATATGGGATTCCAGCTCATGCAAGACAAGAACTTTAGTTATTAGGTTACTAAGCCCTGCCTAGATTTTCTTTATTTTTATTGGAAATGCAGAACTACAGAGAGAGAGATGGAAAGATAGATTGCCCTTCTATTAGTTCACTCTCCAGATAGCCACATTGGCTGGAGCTGAGCCAGTCTGAAATCAGGAGCCAGGAGCTTCTTTTGGGCCTCCCACGAGGGTGCAGGGGTCCAATGCCTTGGGTTGGCCTTTGCTGCTTTTCCAGGCCACAAGCAGGGAGCTGGTTTGGAAATGGAACAACCTGGATATGAACCGGTGCCCATAAGGGATGCCAGTGCTACAGGCATCTTTGCCAGCTATACCACTGTGCCAGGTCCCCAAGAGCTAAGTTTATTTTGGTGCAAAACAATCTGAAATCTTCATGAAGCATTTAAGGGATCTTTTGAAAAGTCCATGGAATTTGAGTATTGCAAAAGAAACAAAAACAAAAAAACCCCCACATCTGCACGGAGAGCCTGGTGGGGTGTGACCGCTCAGCTTCTGTTCTCGGGATCTATCTCCGCAGGACCACCTTTCCTGCAGGGACTCCCACGACCATGCTACAAAGAGCCTGACCTTTAAGCAGGACCACCGGCAGGAGACCCGGCAGCTCCGCTCCATTCTGTGGCGCCTGGCCTCCAGGCACCTGCGCCCCCATGAGTGGAAGAGGCTGGCGTACTCCTGGGAGTTCACCGAGGCCCACGTGGCTGCCATTGAGCAACAGTGGACAGGTACCACCTCGCCCTGCCCACATCGGCGGGCAGAGTGCTGGGGACGTCTGGGGTATGATTCTGGGAACCGAGCCTGTGCCACCCATAGCCCAGCCCCACACTGCTTCCAGCTGCCATTTGTCCGCCTCACTGCACAGGCTGGGTCTCTGCCTCCCAGGGAACCTGTGAATTTCACTCTGCCCACCAACCCACCTGATCCATTTACTCCATCTAAACTGCTAAACTCAAGCACTCCTGGTAGAAAGAAGTGAGTCCCTGCTGTGGAAGCTGCTCAACCTCTATTTGGAAACACTGACCCTGGCACTAAGACATGAAAAGGAAATAAAAATAAGGTGTATAGATATCAGGAAGGAAGACAGCAGTGTTCATTTCAGATGCGTGTGAAACTAGGAAACATAGTCTTATAAACTGAAAAACATTTGGAATTAACCAAGTAATTCAATGAAACAGCTAAGAATGTGATAAAATAGACACCATGGTGTGTACCATCAGTTGGGAAGGTACATAGTACTGCCTTCCTTCCTTCCTCTCTCCCTCCCTCCCTTCCTTTCTTTCTTCATCTTTATTTTTCTTCCTTTCTCTTTCTTTCCATTCTCTTTCTGTCGCTCTCTCTGAGAGAGAGAGAGAGAGAGACAGACAGACAGACAGACAGACAGAGATTGACCAAACTTCTATCCCTTCCATGTGAGTACAAGGTCCCAAGCACCTGGGCCATCCTTTGCTTCCCTCCTAGGTGCATTAGCAGGAAGCTGGATAGGAGATGGAGCAGCCAGGGTTTAAACTGGTGCTCATATGGGATACCAGGTACCACAGGTAGCAGCCTAATGCACTATGCCACAGCATTGGCCTTTTAAAGTTGATCTTTTTTAAAAGATTAATTTTATTTATTTGAAAGGCAAAGCAACATAGAGAAAGGGTAAGACACAGAGAGACATTCCATTTACAGGATTGTTCCCCAAATTGCTGCAATGGCCAAGGCCAGGCCAGAACCTACATCCAGGAGCAGCACTCTGATAATGAAGGCAACTGGCTTAACTGCTGCACTACAATGCCAGCCCCTAAAACAGGCTTCTGTTTACAATAGTGTGTGTGTCTCATTTGATAAAGAGAAACATGATTGACACAAGTAAACAGTGACAACTGACCAGGAACCGGCATGTGGAAAGCAGCTAAGTTGCCTTTCATATGCTTGCACCCCATATCGGAGTGCTGGTTTAGCCCTGATCCAGGTTCCTGCTAATGCAGCCTGGGAGACAGCAGGTGATAGTTCAAGTGCTTGGATTCCTGCCACCCACACAGGAGATCAGGGTGGAGTTTTGGGCTCCTAGCCTCAGCCTGGTCCAGCCCTGGTTTCTGGTGGATCATAACACGGAAAACCGGTGGATGGAAGATCTCCTGTCATTTGTCTCTGTCTTCCAAACACCGAAAAGAACTGCTTAACGGGTTAAAGGTGGCGCCACGTCAAGCAGAACTGTGGCCGAACACTCACAGCTATCCCCTGGGTTAAATGACGCATAGTCCTCACCCACCACCTCCAAATCTGGCTATAGACAGGAGGCACCTGGGCAGCTGTGACAACCCCAATGCCCAGGCTGCCCCAGGAGAGGGTAGAATCTTTTGTGGGTGTCAGGGTGGAGGCGCTGGATTCTGAGATTTCCTAGGAATATTCAGGGAGCTGCTTAAAGTGGGCCTTTGCGTGCAAAGCAACCAGCAAGGTAAGTGCCCCAGCATGCATCCTGGTTGACCGCAATGTCTTCCAAATGCCCATCTGTGGGCATCAGGTGAGGTCTAGGGGCCCAAGACACCAACCCAACTGTGCAGCCAGAGCAGTAAAGGGCCTGGAGAGGAGGAGCCAGGATTGAGAGTCTCATCCTAGGGCTGGGGTTAGGGCGGCCTGATTGGCTACACTCCTCCTCCCCTCTCCTCACTGCCTCTTCAGGCACCAGGAGCTACCAGGAGCATGGCCATCGAATGCTTCTCATCTGGCTGCACGGTGTGGCTGTCGCCGGCGAGAACCTGGGCAGAGCGCTGTTTGAGGGCCTTGTGGCCATTGGCAGGAGAGACCTGGCAGGTACACACCCCTAGATGGGACCAGGGAGGGATGCGGCAGAGCCCCAAACCAGTTGCGCAGGCCTGTGGCACTAAGGTGCATCGCTACTCCCATCAATGCCGTCTTCCCAGACCTCCCCTTCTCAGTGGGCCCGGGGTTCCCCATCAGTGCAACTAAAGTGTTAGCCCAAAGGAACGCTATACCCGCCACTATCATCTCAGTCTTGGCAGTTACATTTTTTTTTTCCACTTTATAGTAAGAATGGGATTGTTTGTCCCATCAAATATTAAGATATAGAAACCCAGACTGGCTTAACACAAGCTGTTTGGTGGCCTATCCCAAAACCTGATTTCCAGGTAGGGAAGGGTGTCTTGTGGAACCATCAGGCAAGCAGAACTAAAGGTTCCAGAACTTAATTCTATCAAAAGCAAAGTCAGCTCATGATCCCTTCCCCCCCAAAATAAACAACCCTGACACTGATATGTGTTGGCAGGTGCACTAGGTGGGGCAATCACAGGATCGGGAAGGTGGTTGGGAAGAACATGTTAGCTAAGATGCAGCAGAAACAAGCTCTGGTCCCTGTGTCTCTCCTGACTGCTTACACTCAGGCAAGGTGGAAGAAGAGCAAGGAAGCATCTCTGGGTGGAAGAATTAGGGACTTTTGTTTGTTTGTTTTTAATGTGTCAAAATGCTCTTAAATATAATCGCTGTATCTTCAGTTAGCACAAACTCTGGCAGGTGAGGAAGGCATGGTACTGACCCCAGGAGGCAGAGCCGAGACACTGTGAGGTCACAGGAGTCTTTTCTTTTTGCAGAAAGCATCAGGAAGAAAGCAAATGCAGAGCCCAGTGGCCCCCGGGGGTGCACGACCATGTGACTGGAGGAGCCAGACTTCCAGGCCTGGAACTGCCCAAACAGAAGAGGGCCACCACGTAAGGCCTTTTATGTGGCCACTGTTAACAGAGTCCAGCTGTGGAGGAGTCCAGCAGGCAAATGGCCAATGCTCGGTTTGTCACGAGGCTTGGTCCAGAGCCTGCGTGGTGGTCGGGAAGTCATCCTTCCCCATGGCTGTTGTCCTAGGAGTCCTGGGCGCACCTTCACCTCTGGTGTCCGGCAGCCTCCCGGAAGCGCAGTGAGCCATGTACACAGGGTACAGCATGGCCCAAGGTGCAAAAAAAAGTCTCCTAGGCCACACTCGTCATCTGGTGCTGGGGTCAGGTGCCAAACCCAGCCATCCTTCTTCCTTGACACAAGTGCTGTTAAAACCCCTTCCAGAATGGATTGCCTTGACTTCTCCGCTGGATTTTTTTTTTTTTTCCTTTTTTGGATCAAAAGTAGAGGAGTTGGGATATGAACCGGCGTCCATAAGGGATGCCAGCACTGCAAGCCTGTTGAGCTACTGCACCAGCCTGCCTTTGCTGCCTCACTCCACAGCTGTTAGCTCTTACAGATTATTTGTACAGTTTGATAGCCCTCATTTTTCCCTCTGGTATTACAGTCAGTAAAACTTCTAAAACTCTCAAAATCACTTCCCTTTATAAAAGTAGCTGCAGAAATATACAAAGAGTTTCTGAGTGTTCCTCCTACGACTTCCTCAAATACTGACATCTTACATAATTTGGGGGTAACTTTTTAAACCAGGAAATTAACACTGGTACATGGTTTATATATATATACATTTTAAAAGATTTATTTATTTTTATTGGAAAGGCAGATATACAGAGAAGAAGAGAGACAGAAAGGAAGATCTTCAGCTGCAACGGTCAGTGCTGTGCCGATCCGAAGCCAGGAGCCAGTAACTTCCTCTAGGTCTCCTACGCAGGTGCAGGGTCTCAAGGCTTTGGGCTGTCCTCAACTGCTTTCCCAGGACATAAGCAGGGAGCTGGATGGGAAGTGGGGCTGCTGGGATTAGAACTGTCACCCATACGGGATCCCAGTGCATTCAAGGCGAGGACTTTAGCCGCTAGGCCACTGTGCTGGGCCCAAATGATGCTATTTGTTACCATGTCCTTTGGGAAAAGAAACAACTGGAAGCAAACCCAGGGATCATCTCCAGGGGTCTGGAGACAGGAAGCCTGGTCTACTACCCACATGGTGGCCACCGCTTGCCACCCTCACCAGTTGCTGTAGTGTGCATAGGGCCTGGTACCCCTAGATCCCAGAGGCATCAGCTAATGTTGACAGCATGGAAATTTGGCTCATTTGTGGGGTTCAGAAGGTCTTTAGATGCCTGGGGGTGTGTCCTAGGGAGGCAGTTCTCCAAGGAAAGGGTTATTAAAAACCCAGGCTCTGACCTAGCCACTGTGTATCCTCTTTCCTCCCCATGTGATCCTTCCTTTGAGGCTGGACCAATGGACTAAATAAATTTGGGAGCTAAATTAACCTTTTCATTTCATAAAACTCACAGTGCCGGGTAGTTCACTGTGCTAACACACACACACACACACACACACACACACACACACCCCCAAAGATCTCCCATCACTGATTCATTCTCCAAATACCTGCAGCAGCCACTGCCAAAGCCAGCAGTCAGAAGCTGGAAAACCCAGCTCTTCCAGGTGGATGGCAAGCATAAGAGCAGCCACTGCCTGCTGCCCCCCAGGGTCTGCATTAGCAGGAAACTGAAATTGGGAGTGAACCAGGCCTCAAACCAGGCACTCCGATCCATGCAGTTGCCCTTGAGTGGCAGGTGAGCCTCAGAGCCAAATGCTTTGAAGGACAACCCATCTATTTGCCTTTTGGGAAAGGTATTCTGTACCACTGCGTGTTTACAAATTGTGCTGTTTTCTGAGATGACAAAGCAAGTTCTTAAATAAAACTGAAATACTGAAATATACATCTCAAAAGGCAACACTTGATTCTCTTATGTAGGGATTCTTGAGCCAAACTTCAAAGTCGGATGAGCTGTCACACGTCAGCTCTGTAAACATCATCACTAAGCACAGGGGGGAAATGTTTATCTGAGTCTCCTGGGCCAGGCAGTCAGCGGCGGTGGTGAGGGGATGAGATGCCTGCCCTGAGAGGCTTAGGGACTGGTGGGGAGAGAGGCGTGGCCACCCACAAGTGTTACATCATTCTGTTGGTGCTATAACTCATGGGGTGCAAACAGTGTAGGATTTGGGGCAGCTGTCTGGCTTAGTATCTAATATTGAAGTGCCTGGGTTTGAGGACTGGCTCTGTTCCTGATTTTAGCTTTGTTGTATTAGGTAGGTGATGGTTGGATTCTGAACTTTCTACTTTGACCTGGCCTAGCCCTAGCTGTTGCAGGCATTTGGGGGAGAAGGAGGGTGGGAAATTGTGTTTAACTTTTAAACAGTTGTAGGGTCCAGCGTGGTAGCTTAGCAGCTAAACTCATTGCCTTGCACATGCAGGGATCCCTTATGGGCACCGGTTCGTATTCCAGCAGCTCTGCTTCCCATCCAGTTCCCTGCCTGTGGCCTGGGAAAGCAGTCGAGGACAGCCCAAAGCCTTGGGACCCTGCACCCGTGTGGGAGACCTGGAAGAGGCTCTGGGCTCCTGGCTTCGGATTGGCTCAGCTCTTGCTGTTGCGCCTGCTTGGGAAGTGCATCATCGGATGGAAGATTCACTTTTGATTCACATTTGGTTCACTTCCTCTCTGTCTCCTCCTCTCTGTATATCTGACTTTGCAATAAAAAGAAATAGATCTTTAAAAAACCCTTTTAAACAGTTGTAGTTAATCCCACTTTTTTTTTTTTTAAGCTACAAGATTGCTTTCTCAACGAAGGTGTGGGGAGAGGGTCATACCACTCCAAATGTGTCTAGTCTTGTCTGATCTTGGAAGCTAAGCAGGGCTGCGACTGGTTAGTACCTGAATGGGAAACATGGACACAGCCAGGCTGGGCAGAGACTGCAGTAAGAGGCAGGAAGAATTGGGGGGAGGTAGGGACAGGGAGTGTGAAGGGCATGTGGGAAACTCACAGTCCATGCTGCGATCCAGGCTTTGATGCCCACACTGCAGGGTAACTGCTGGACAGAACAGGGCCCCTCTTTTTTTAACTTAAAGATTTATTTACTTTTATTTGATAGACAGATTCAGAGAGAGAAAGAGACCTTCCATCTGCTGGTTCACTCCTCAAGTGGCCACAATGGCTGGAGCTGAGCCCATCTGATACTAGGAGCCAGGAGTTTCTTCTGGATCTCCCTTGTGGGGGTATGAGCCCAAGCGCTTAGGCCATCCTCTACTGCTTTCCCAGGCCATAAGCAGATAGCTGGATCAGGAGTGGAGCAGCCAGGACACAAACCAGCTCCCTGCAGGCAGCCAATTAGCTTCCTATGCCACGGTGCCGGCCCCTAGCAGGGCCCCTTTTTGGAAGGGCAATCTGTTTCTGTTTCTGTAGCATTCTTTACCTCACTGTATGTGACTCACTTGTATTTTATTTTTATAAAAGGTTGATCTAAAAGAAACTGCAAGGGCCCAGCACGATGGCACAGTGGCTAAAGGCCTCACCTTGCACGCCCGGGATCCCATATGGGCGCCGGTTCTAATCCCAGCAGCCCCGCTTCCCTTCCAGCTCCCTGCCTGTGGCCTGGGAAGGCAGTTGAGGATGGCCCAAAGCCATGGGACCTTGCATCCACGTGGGAGACCCGGAAGAGGTTCCTGGCTTTGGATCGGCATAGCATCGGCCGTTGTGCTCACTTGGGAAATGAATCACTGGATGGAAGATCTTCCTCTCTGTCTTTGCTCTCTGTATATCCACCTTTCTAATAAAAATAAAATAAATCTTAAAATAAAATAAATAAAAGAGACTGCAAGAGAGATCTTATATCTACCTGCATGGAAGACCTGGAAGAGGCTCCTGGCTTGGGATCAGCTCAGCTCTGGTTGTTGTGGCCATTTACGGAGTGAACCAAGATATTTTTCTCTGTCTCTCCTCTCTGTAGATGTGATTTGCCTTTCCAAGAAAAAAAAATAAATCTTAAAAAAAAAATAAATAAAGGATGAACTTATCCTAGAAAAAGAGAAATTTGTAATCCATGCTTTTGCAGAATCTTTCAAAATTAATGCACAAGGCTGGTGCAGTGACAGAATGTATGAAACCACCAAAAACCACATCACCTGTTTCTCAAAGATCCTATCTGAGCAGGCCAACTGGGTGCCAACAATGATTACAAAAGACACTGGTTGAAATTGAAGTTTTATTCCAAATGACTGTAATGGTCTAGAAAGACAATAGCTGACACTCAAAACAATGTGCTGAACTGTAAAATAAAAGTAGTTGATTTGTAGGAGAGCAAGCCATGAGGTGTGAGCCGTGATACTGACAATGGTTATACCCAAGAAAGCCCGAGAGTACCCAATGTCCTTCTGACAGATTCTGATGTGCAGTATTTACTGGAAACAACACAGAAAGCAAGAAAAAGCAACGATGGAGAAAGAAAAGGAAAGGATCGACAAAAATCCACAAAATCCTCAATCCCAGGAATTAACATTCACTTTTGGTAGCAAAGTCATTACAATTCTTCAAATGGGAGGCTTCAAAAGTATTTCCTGAAATTCCAAAGCTCAAAAACAACAAACAAACAAACAAACAAACCAAAAAACCCCTAAGGGGAACAGTTGTGCTGGCTTAGTGGCACTGCTGTCCTGTGGTGACAGTCAGTCCTGCTTTCTGAACACAGTGAGAACCGTGAGCTGGCTGCACCCAGAGGCCGATCGTGCAGGGGTACGCTGGGTCACCTCGTCTCCCACAGCCAGGACCACCGCTACTGCTCCTCCTGGGTGATGCTGAGGTTGCCCTTCTGTACCTCCAGCTCCTCGGCACTGACCATTGCTGGGTCGATGGCTGAGTACTTGGTGCCATGGAACTGCAGCAGGTGTATCTGCAGGGACACAGGGTGGTCATTGTGAGCCTCCCGGAGCAACGTGCACACTGCCTCAGACAGCTCTGGAGGGAGATGCCCCTGCTGTGAACACATGCTTCATGTTGGAAATTACGAGCTAATGAGCATACACTAACTAGACAAAAACTGGCAAATACAGACTAGTCAAGAGAGATTTTTAAGGTTTCATGAGGTGCAATCTTTACTCCCAGAGGGTTTGGCCTGTGCTGGGTCTCTCCTATGATATGGCCGCACACTGCCCTATGGGAAGATGCCCATGGCCCATCCAAGGCTGGGAGCTGCGTCATTCCAGGCTTCTGGCTCTGGGATTAATGGTGTGAGGAAGATGTCTGCACACCAAGCTTTCCCATGTTTGGGATTCTTTCCTTAGGGTCTATTTCCACAAGAGGATGACAGGATTTAGGCATGCGGGTTTTTTAAAAAAGTCTTTTGCCAAATTGCTATTCCAGCATGAGCAGAAGGCTGGGCACATGTTTTGAGAAACATCATTAGGTAAGCTCATTTCTGCGTGAACATCTTAGTGTATTTAGGAGATGTGATGTGATCATATGGGACCCCATCAGACAGGCAGTCCAAAATGTCATTATGCAAGCATGTGGCTGTACCCATCAGATGAAGAAATAGGCTATGACTCATGGGTGGAGACAGGGGAGTGGGTTTTATGCATTAAAGTTAGAGGGCAAAAGGCACAGCGTGGACCTCAGGCTGCCCCCACTTGGGTCTGGTGTCCTGCTCTGACTGCACTGTGACCATGAGTAAGGACATAGATTAGGTCATAGCCTACCAGTGGCTACCTCTACAGGAGGATGTACGCTTGCTGTTCTAGAAAAGGGATAGTGGGCAGAGTCACCCAGGGGCCACCTATGCACCCCACTGAATTTTCCCCTAAATTGTTGTGTCTGAAGTTAATGCCTCATTCCTTTGGGGAATTCTTTAGCTCTCTGTCCCCTGCTAACAAAATAAAATAAAATAAAATTTTATGTTATAAACCTTGCCTTTTGGGTTCAAAGGGCTTGCAATCCATGCTGGAGCTTACCTGCACATAGAGGTTCACCTCGGCACTTCGGCACAGGTATGGGAAATTGCCTCCGGTTTTAAGGTGAGCTCTCCGGGCATTAGGATACAGTTTGTACATTTCTTCCTTAGCTTCAGTGGAAAGTGCACTCTGGTCGAACACCTTTAAAAGAAACCCAAGGCTGAAACCTGCTGGTATTTTAACACGTTCTTTTCACAATATGGAAAGTACCACTCCATGCTAACGATGACACAACGCTGAACCCTTGAGCCACTGCCTAGTGCACTTCAAACTCCAATAAAGACATCAGCTGTAGCTTGTGCCTCCTGCCTCCTTCGGGGAAGGAAAAAGGGGCACTAAATTCTGTGAATTACCTTCTCCCTCAGACGTGGCTAATTCAATGAACAAGATATTTACACATACTTTTTGTTAAAGATTTCTTATTTATTTGAAAGTCACTGTGATGGAAGAGAGGGAGAGGTAAAGTTGGAACAGCCCAAATGTGTGTTGACAGATGAACGGATAAACAAGATGTAGTATATAGGGAAAATGACACATTAACCAGCTTTAAAAAGGAATGACGGGGGGGAAATCCCAGTCTACATGGAAAAAAAAAGAGAGAAAGAAAGAAAGAAAGAAAGGAATGACATTCTGATGCATATGATAGCCTTGGATGAATCATGGAAATATCATACTACATAAAATAAGTGAGACACAAAAGATAACTAACATATCAATTTAGTTACATGAGTACTTAGAGTCTGCAAAGTCACAGAGATGGGAAGGAGATTGCTGGTTGCCACGGGTTAGGGGAGAAGAAAGTAAGGAATCAGTGGTTTCTGGGCATAGAGTTTCTATTTGGGATGCTGAGAAAGTTCTGAAAATGGATGGTGGTGATGATTTACAACACTGAATGTGCTTACTGCCACTGAACTGTGCCCTTAAAAACTGTTGACCTTCTCTGGGCCCAGCGCGATAGTGTAGTAGTTAAAATCCCTGCCTTGCACACGCTGGGATCCCATATGGGTGCTGGTTCTAATCCCAGCAGCCCCGCTTCCCATCCAGCTCCCTGCTTGTAGTCTGGGAAAGCAGTTGAGGACTGCCCAAAGCTTTGGGACCCTGCACCCACATGGGAGACCAGGAAGAGCTCCTGGCTCCTGGCTTCGGATTGGCTCAGCACCAGCTGTTGCGGCCACTTGAGGAATAAACCATCAGACAGATGGAAGATCTTCCTCTCTGCCTCTCCTCTGCTCTGTATATCTGCCTTTCCAATAAAGAAAAAAAATCTCTTAAAAAAAAAAACCCTGTTTATATTTTCTTATGTATATTTCATCAAAGTAAAAAAGGACACTTTTGTGCTAATGAGGATTTATGGATCCTTTACATCTTTGTTCTTGTAGGCACCTTCTGTTTTGTATGCGATCCTGTTGATGTGAAAGCAAAGATACCCAAAACAGATCAACTATCCCTTATGTCCACTGACATTTTGATTTCCAGCCAGGAAAAATTTAGGACAAGCAATAACGGAAACCAGGAGAGCTGAGGGATACAACAACAAAAGCCTGTGTGGCACTTGAAGACTCACACCGGAAGCATACAACCATTACAAGGAGCTTACATCCATGATGGTCACAGGGATGTCCCGAATCTTATGAGGTTCCACATAAGAATTTTGACAATTCAGGGTAAGTCTGGAAGCCAGTTCACTCTGGCCCAAACTTTCCAGCTGCAAGAAGAAACACATGTCATATACTTGAAGTCATTTTATTTCTCATACTTACTTTAAATCTGCAGATAATATTTACAGTGATATTATGAATTGTGGGGCTGGAAAAGTCACCAACAAGGAAACACAAAGTATCTGCCACCCCTATGTGCCTCTCAGGCAGTGGCCCCAGCACTGGAGACAGCATTTGCTACTATCCAGGTTCACAAAGAGGAAGCTACCTCAGAAGTGCAGGAGGAGCCAGGGCTTGAACCAGGTACTCTGATATGGGATGCAGGTGTCCCAAGCAGCAGTTAACTCAATGTACCTCAATGGCCTCCCCAGAATCCTTTCCCTCTTTTAATTTACTTCTTTGAGGGACATAAAGGTAGAGCATGAGAGTAAGTAACTGTCTGCTGGTTCACTATCCACTGTCTGCAACAGTAGGCTGGGTCAGGGCTGAAGCGGGGAGCCATGAACACAATCCAGGCCTCCCAAATCCTTGAGCCACCACCACTGCCTCCCAGGGTCTTCGTTCACAGGAAGTGGAAGTTGAATCTGGGGTCAGATACTGAACTTACATAGCTCAGTGTGGGTTGTGGGATGTGGGGTGATGGCATCTTTACCATTGGGCTAAGTGCCTGCACTTGGGCAAGCTGTCAAGTTCAAATCTTCCCATGGAACAATGCAGCCAAACCCTCCACAGCAGTTCAGATGAAGTAAGAGTTAATAAGAAAAACTGCTTAACAATGACCTCCAACACTACTCAATGAGATGACAGATCTTTAGGAACTAAGTGGCCATGAAACCTTATGTGAGCTGTGGTCTTCACTTACCCTGTCCACCATGAAGTCAATTGCGTTCGCCATCATAGGGTCCACTGGACCAGAAGAGAAGTTTCCAAGAACTATTTTTTTGAGCATAAATGCTGGCATCAGCCAAAAGCTGTAAAACAAAGACCTGATAATTTAAGCTTCTATGATTAAACATGTGAGAGATTCAACATGGCTACTCTGTCACAGCTAGCTGCTCGGATTCCAGAGAGGAAAAGACCTCTGTTCTTCCTACAAGAAGCTCAGCATCCACTTCTACACTTTATCAAGCTTCCCAAAGAGTTAACATGTAATTAAATTTTAAGAATTTAGAATAACTATCAGCAATATTTCCAGAGGCTTTACCAAGATAGATATTCTCATGATCCTAAGATTTTTTTTTTTCTGTCTTATTTTCAATGGTTAAACTATTTCCTTTGGAAAACTCAGCATCAAAACAAGTATTTCTTCTTTCTGGTTGATAACATCTTTTGATTTCAAAATACCAAAATGGAAATCACCATGCCTCCCAAATTTTGCTACCTAACACTGTGTTCAATGAGTCTAATTCAAGGCATTTTCATCTTCATAAATTTCTATATATGATCTTTAACTGGTACTTCTACTAATTTTGAAAATTAAGAGGCATTATAGATGGCAAATGCTAATTTCCCTAAATTATGCTGGAAATTATTTGCAAAAGGTAGAGACCAATTTCTGATACTTATTCTCATTAGAATTGCTTTGTTGGAAGTATAGCTTCCCTCCAAAAGATTGTTGAGCCATCTTCCAGTTAAGTTCTCTTCCACCCCCACCACTTCCCTGCCTGTGGCCTGGGAAAGCAGTAGAGGATGGCCCAAAGCCTTGGGATCCTGCAACCGCAGGGAAGATCTGGTAATAGCTCCTGACTCTTGGCTTTGGATTGTGTAAGCTTTGGCTGTTGTGGCCACTTATGGAGTGAACCAGTGGATGGAAGATCTTTCTGTCTCTCCTCTCTATCTGTCTTTCAAATGAAAATAAACAAATCTTAAAAAAAAAAAAGAAAAGAAAAGAAAGATGTGGCAGCAGAGTGCTAAGAAAATCAACTACCAAGATACCATCAGGACAAGTTCTAAAAACACCAGGGTGGAGTGGGCATCTGCCTTAATGATTAAGATGCTGATTAAAATCTCCATGTCCCACACTGGAGTTCCTGGGTTTGATTCCGGGCTCTGCCTCCCAATTCAAGCTTCCTACCCATGCAGACTTTGGTAGCTGGTAGTGTTGGTTCAGACAGCTGAACTCCTGCCGTGCATGTGGGAGACCTGGATTGTTTCAGTTCTTTGCTCTGGCTTCAGGACTGTGTGAGCATTTAGGGAGTGAATCAGCCACTGGAAGCTCTATTCGTGCTTCTCTGTCTTTTTCTATTTGCTTCTCAAATTGTTAGATTAAATAATTTCTTAAAAATAAAAATAAAAGTTGGGCCCGGCGCGGTGGCACAAGTGGTTAAGGTCCTTGCCTTGCACGCCCAGGATCCCATATGGGCGCCGGTTCTATCCCGGCAGCCCCGCTTCCCTTCCAGCTCCCTGCCTGTGGCCTGGGAAAGCAGTCGAGGACGGCCCAAAGCTTTGGGACCCTGCACCCACGTGGGAGACCCAGAAGAGGCTCCTGGCTTCAGATCGGCATAGCATCAGCCATTGCGCTCACTTGGGGAGTGAATCATTGCACGGAAGATCTTCCTCTCTGTCTCTCCTCTCTGTATAGCCGCCTTTCCAATAAAAAAAAATAATAAAAATAAATCTTAAAAAAAATAAAAAATATTAAAACTCCAATGCTGTATAAATGTGAAAGCAATGTCTGCCTATGACATTATTTTAAAATTAACCAGCCCGCACAGATGCATTGTAACACTGGGCTTTTTAAAGGCGGAGCTGAGCCTTGGTGGCAGCATAAGAAGCTCACAGAAATGGATCAGCTTCAATGTACATGCTGACATGCATGAAGCTGATTTAAAGGCTAAAGCCAAGGCAAGAGCAGCCCTTCTGGCTGCGCCCACAGCACCCGCACCTTTCTGAAGCACAGACGGACATCAAGCGTCATGCCGTATGGCACAGTTGAGGGACAGTGTGCTTCTACCTTTAGTTTGGGAAAAAGTATCTCAAAGAGATAACCCGGTAAAAAGCAGAAACAAGAATTTGTACAAGATTTATGGCAGCACATGATGAAACACTGGGAAAAGCCACGTGCATGGAAAATTGTGTCAGGTAATACACAACAGTTTACACAAGAAATTGTAAACTGCACAGGCAGACCGCCCATCAGTTTTACAGCCAAAGACGGTAGAGGCGATGAGTGTGTATTAAACCATCCCTCAGAATAACAGATAGAGTCGAATTTAGAATTCCCACAGTATTCTTTCTGAAAGGGGGTTGTTTCTCATTGTAAAATCCAGAGAAGTTTCAGAAGGCACATGTTGATAAAAAGTTCTCCCTCTCTCCTGTACACAGAAATTCACATCTTCAAAGTTCCACCGGATGAAACAACAAGCATTTGTGGCCTGATGTTTAGTTCCTCACCTGTTTGCAGTCCAAGTCTGGTTAAAGATGGAGGTATCACTGAAGGCATTGCAGAGGATGAGGGAGTGGACTCTGGGAGACTTGTGGGTATATTCAGCAAATTTCTGGGCCAAAAAACCTCCCAAAGAAGCCCCAAAGAGATGAACCTAATTACAAACAAATATTAGGCAGATCCTAAAATGTTGATCAATCTTGAATATGAATATGTAAAAGGAGCTGTTTCAATGATTACAAACCACAGGTTTTACAATACAATTGCTACACTGAAAGTCACATGTAAGTAATTAATATCAGAGTACTCACTTTATCCAACTGTAAATGATCCAAAAGTTTCCTGAATCCATCACAAAATTCAAGATGGTCCCAATACACCGGATACTGCAGCTGAAATAATGTTTTCAAATTTATTGTAAAAACTACAAAGGTGCAATGCAATTCATATATACACAAAAAATTTAGGATTTGCACATAGCATTTCTTACTTGCTCATGCTCTGTTCCTTACTCCAAGTATATTAAAATAAGCTCTCACTTTCTACCAAACTTCATAACTCACATTTTATCTAACAGATGAAAATTTAAGAAAAGACCAAAAGTTAAGCACACCCTAGCAATATTATGTGAATAATAATTTCAATTAGTATCAACTTCCTTTCCAAATAACTGAAAAAGTCTGAGGTTCAAGAGTAAATAGAGGGCCTGGCGCGGTGGCGCAAGTGGTTAAGGTCCTCGCCTTGCACGCCCAGGATCCCATATGGGCGCCGGTTCTATCCCGGCAGCCCCGCTTCCCTTCCAGCTCCCTGCCTGTGGCCCAGGAAAGCAGTCGAGGAAAGCCCAAAGCTTTGGGACCCTGCACCCACGTGGGAGACCCGGAAGAGGCTCCTGGCTTCGGATCGGCATAGCATCGGCCGTTGCGCTCACTTGGGGAATGAATCATCAGACAGAAGATCTTCCTCTCTGTCTCTCCTCTCTGTATAGCTGCCTTTCCAATAAAAAAATAATAATAAAAATAAATCTTAAAAAAAAAAGAGTAAATAGAGCACAACTCATGCAAGTGAAGAAATAGCTTTTCCTTTAAATCCAATTTCATATTGAATTATGGCTCAGGAAAAGTAGAAATAAAATCTATACTAGAGAGCTCTTTCTTTGGAAGCACAGCTATAAGGAGGTATTCAACAGAGCTGTTTTTCCTTTAACTGACTTAGTCATTTGATTTGACTTCTTGTACTTTTATCTGTGCCCCCACAGAAGTATAGCTCTTGATCTTTCGTAGCCTATTTCTTTTTAGACAGATTTTTCTCTTTTTTTTTTTTTTTTTTTTTTACCTGAAAGGGAGCTATAGTGACACACACACATGCACACTCCATCTGTTGGTTTATTCCCCAAATGGGCACAACAGCTGGGGCTGGGCCAGGCTGAAGACAGAAGCGAGAACTCCATCCAGCTTTCTCACATGGTGGCAGGTGCCTAAGGCCTTGGGTGATCTTGCACTGATTTGGTGTATCAGCATAGAGCAGGATCAGGAGTGGAGCAGCCATGACTTGAAATGACAGCATATGAGATCCCAGCCTCACAGGTGATGTTACTATGCTGCACCACATGCATACCCCCAGGGAATGAGTTTTTCATGAAGCCTTTAATTAAAAAATATCCATGCCCTAAACAGGTGGTAAAATGTATGCAGCTTGGTATACATATGCATGTGCATACACATGTACACACACAACTGGATGCAAGTAAACTAGGAAAATCTGAAGAAGGCTGCAGATTTTAATAGTATCCATATCCTGGTTGTTACACCATATATAATTTTAAGTTTCAATTTATTTCTAAATGTTTGTTACATAGGCGAGGGGACTAACTCATGCAGGTCTGGTGGGGATGGGAAGGGATGGAGACAGGAAGGTGAGTAAAAAAAAATCTCTCCCATGCTTCTGTGACCACAGGTGGGGGGATCGGGACAGAGGTTGCCCTGCTTCTTGCTACCAAGACCACATCAGCGCCAGGGGACAGAGATGGTCTCCTGATTTTTGTCCCAGGGACCCTAATGTGGGAGTGGGGGAGAATGTCCTGATGGTGTTACTTGAATAATCTCAATTTTTCTGAGACGGTGTTGGCTTCATTGTGCATTGTATATAATTTTGTAACTTGTTCTCATTTAAAGAAGCTGGGCAAAGTACATAGGAGATAGTTCTATGTATTATTCTGAACAAATGCATGTGACTCTACAACAATACCAAACACAACTTTAAATAAGAAAAGATCCATAACCAATATCTAGTGAATTTAAAAACTCCACGGGGGTGGGTGGGTCCCAGGTCAAACTTTACAGGATCCTCTGGATTCTGACCTTTTCCTGGGCATCCAGTGAATGAAACCAGAAAAGCTCACATCAAGAAGCCTAGGATAAGGAAGAAATACCCAGCAGAGAGCCAGAGCTCCTGAGACGTGCTAGCAAGGAGTGAGCAACACTCTCTCTGCAAGCCAAAGTGCTCTGCAGAAGGAAGTTAAACCTGAGGGTGGCTGCACGTCCCCTTCCTGGTTGCAGAGACCTGGGACAAGAAAAGGCACAAGCCTGCTCTTCTAGAATATGCTGTCCAAGAATACCTGCAAACCTAGAAGACAAGAGACTTATGCTGCAGAGATTCAAAGTCACAGAGGAATAAAGAAACTAGAGGCCATAAGCCACAGAAGACCTGCGGGAAGGCAGCAGGGCAGACCAATTTCTCAGAAGCTGGTGAGTCAGAAAGAGGGGAAACTGGATGTTTTGCATGGCCCACTGTTTGTGGTAACCCCAGTAGAATCTCTTCAAGAGAAGAGCCCTGACCCACTTCTCTCCTTTAGACAGTAAATAAAATGTCTAGCAGCAACACCCCACAGGGAATACTGTTTACATGTCAACATGTCAGGTTTTGGCAGCTCCACAGCTAGACTCTCCTTCCTTGGAAATGGGAAACCAACCTATACAAAGTCACACAGCAGGGACAAGCAAGGACATTTATCTTAAACATCAGCACCTTCCCCCAGTTCACCTTTTTCCCTAAAGGAGATTCCAGGATGACCAGTGGGAAACTAAATTTAGACCACACTCAGCTATGGAATTGGAAACAAAAAACTTCCTAACCAAGGGTTAAGGATAGGAGCTAATTCATGTCTCTCATCACAAACCACAAATGGCAATTAACCTACAAAGTCGACCTTGGTTCTGCTAGAACCAAGAAACAAAGACAAAAATGCTTCCAATCATTCAGAGCTGTGGGGAGAGGGTCAGGAGAAAATGCACGTGGGAGGCAGGTGCTGAGAAGACTGCCGACACAGGCCTGGCCCCTGCAAGCCTCTGTGCCCATATGTCTGGGTGCACACTGTCAGGAGCCGTGTACTATAGCCACACTGAAGCCATTTTGAATATAGAACTACAGGCCAGTGGAAAACCCCTGGTTGGCTAGATGCTTGGGAAAGAGGTTATGAAACTGATCACACACCTAGTTTCAATTATTTCTAGCAACTGTTTCAGAATGTGATTTATGCTGTACCTGCCAACATCTTGTTACTTGTTACCTACACTATTGTTGATATGGTGGTTGCTCAAGAACAATCGGTCTTGAGACCATGGCTTGCATCCCAGTTTCTCCTTTCCTCCCAGAGCCTTAGTTACTGAAAATATAAAAAGCCTCAATTGAAAATAATAAAGTGTCAGCTTGATCAGACATACTGTCTTGCTGTCCATTCTTTTTGTCTCTTGCCCCCATTCTCTCCTAGGTTGGTTGTGACCCCTGTTGACTGTCCTGCAGGACGGAACAGCACACAGCAGCTGCTCTGCAAAGGCTTCATCTTAATTACAAAAAAAAAAAAAAAATCCCATGACTACAGCTGATCAAAAACAAAAGCAGGGTCAGCACTCTGGCCAGGGAAGCTGCCAACTACAAAGCCGGCAGCATTCCATTTTCTCATCTGGGAAGTGGGCATGTGGGTGTCAGTTCAAGTCCTGGCTGATCCACCTCCCAGTCAGCTTCCTGCTAATATGCCTGGGAAAGCAACATAAAATGGCCTAAATCCCTGGGTCCCTACCATCTATGTGGGACACTGGAAATAGCTTTTGGCTCCTGGCTTCAATCTGGCCCAATCCTGGCTTTGTAGTCATCAGGAAGTGAACCAGCAGATGAAAGATCTCTCTCCTTCTGTAATCATGTTTTTTAAATAAAACATCAAAAATTTAAAGCAAAGGAAAAAATTCACAAAATATGGATCTCAATTTTAATATTGAAATAATGATACTTACAGCTATAACCCGGTAGCCCCATCCGGTCAAAGCCAAAATCTGCCGGAAAAACACATCGGCAGTCCCGCTGACAGGGGGAAGGAAGATGAGAGGACACCTGATGCTTCTAGGACCCGCATCATAGAGTGACCAAATCTTACTGTCATCATCATCTACTATAATCTGGAGGGAGAGCGAGAAGGAAAACATGGAGGCCCTTTAGGATTTGGTTCAGATGTTGTCATTTTACATCACAGTTTCATACTGACAATTTTAATATAAAGTGGCAAAAGGGTCACACCAGGTAAGCAGGTAAAATAAACAGCTTTGGTCTCTTTTCTTCAATGTAATCATATCCCACAGAATCATTTTATAGTCTTCAAAGACCTGTTTTTTTCTGTTTTAACTTTTTTTTCTATCTATAATAAGAATAAGTCAATTTTTTTTTTATCACAAAACAGTAAACTCTGCACACAGCATTTCTTCCCTATACTTCAGGTGGTGTGTGTGTGTGTGTGTGTGTGTGTTACACACAAGGAGGATGGTTTGCAGTGACTGTGCAGTGCTGGCCCTGTGGACTGCCTGGGGTCAGCAGGGTCAGAGCACGAACAGGGGAGGCGAGGGGAGACTTGGCTCCAGGGAGAAGCTAGGTAGAGATGGCACTAGCTAGGAGATGCTTCAGGAACTGACGTAGCCCAGGCCCGGGAGGCAGGAGGACATGTACTACTGAGGCCGGCCAGGCAGGTGTCCGTCAGTCAGGTTACTTCAACCCAGTCAGGGCTAGGGAGGGAGTGCAGGGAACACCTGGCTTCGGTGGAAGACGTAGGACAGGGAGGAAGGTAACCAGAAACCTTCCTGTCCTTAAGCCAACAGACAGAAAAGATGAACAAGGATGAGCTGATGCGAGGCCAGTGCTGACAGAGCTCAGCAGACATTCAGGGGTCACTAGGTGCTGGCCATTATTACTATTCTCTGCATGAACACTTGCCAATGCAAGTCAGGATTTACCCTACTTTTTACTGAAAAATTTCAAAGCCTCCAAGTTCTTTTTTCCTGAGTGCTCCCCGCTGGCAGGGCTCTGAACTCTCCGGCATCACTCTGGGGCTGGCAGTACGCCAACCACTGTGACTAGCATCACCGGGAGCAAGTGGAGCTAGGCAAAGTCCAGAGAGATTTCCAATTCCCTTTCAGGCTGGCGGAGGTCGCAGTCATGATAAACTTCTGTTTCTGCCCTTTGTAGTTTGCCCATTTGCGTTTTTGCTTTTTGTATTCCTCTCTTACTGTGACGATGACTCAAAAAACCTCTCCACAACCTTCGACAGTGTATCTCACACTACCGACTCTTGTAAGCAAATCACGTAAGACATTCCTCTCTCTCAAACTTTCCGGGATCAATGGTCACATGTGGAAGAAAGCCACACAAATACGCTCTGGAGAGTTCAGCGGGGGATACTTCCAACAGAATCTGTAAATATTGAAATGTGTTGAGCACTGTGACTCTTCAGAGTTCCCTGCAGGATAGTTTTGTCCTTCAGAAAACATAGTTTCTGTGTGACCACTTATCAGGACCTTTGAACTGAATTAACCTGACACTGTAGAACATTCCATCAATGAAACTATTTCCTCAGCTGCAGGAAACAGCCCCAGGGCTCCTGGCTTAGAAGCAGGATTCACCTGATTCTACCAGGCTGTGTGACGTGTGACCTTTAACTCCATGAGCTGCGGTGCTTTTTCTCATCTAGGAAGTGGGCACAGAATATCCACCTTGGGGAACTGTTGAAAGAACTAAATGTCTGGGGGGTTCCCACAACAGTGCCAGGTAGATGGGAGTTAAGCTTTCCACTAAGTGACAAAGAAGAGAATACAAATACCTGCTTGTTTGCACATCTAAAAGCAGTTGTAAACGGTGAGTGGAGTTATACCCACTTTTATTCTCGGGTGAGTCTCCACAGTTCACTGCATGCAACAAAGGACCCACAGCCACGATATCTGATAATAACCTGTCCTCTCAAACATTATGAAAGCATATCACCTAAGTCATACACAGAAACAATACAATATTTGACAAATAAAAAAAGTAGTAAAACCATACATACCTTTTTCAGAGGAACTGTACTTCTAAACCAGTTATAGTCAGGAGAGATTTTAATCTCTCCCATGATTGGCTAAAATGGTGGGTAATCCTGAAATGAAAGCATGTGATGTTTCATGTCAAGAATCCAAGTGTAAAAATAATAATAATAATAATAATAATAAAATAATCCATGTGCATATCAGAACTGACTGTACAGTCTGGTCTAGTCAATACCTATACCATTTTCAAACGAAGGCCACTTTTCCTTATTGGCATGTACTTAAATGACAGAAAGCAATTTGGTGAGAGGGAACCAAGACAGGCACCCCTTGAGTCTCTCCAGAGGAGGAACCTTGCCTAGAAAATTTTGAACACTTTTCCAAGATGCCCATCAATGCTGTGCAGCTGGATGCAGACATCTGCCTGTGCCAATCAAGTAACGCTTCCCTACAGCAGCAGCCCCTATCACTGACAGCATCTTAAGAATACATTTTAGGGCCCAACGCGGTGCCTAGTAGCTGAAGTCCTCTCCTTGCACTTGCTGGAATCTCATATGGACATGGGTTCATGTCCTGGTGCCCTGCTTTCCATCCAGTTCCCTGCCTGTGGCCTGGGAAAGCACTGAGGACAGCCTAAAGACTTGGGACCCTGTACCCACGTGGGAGATCTAGAAGAAGCTCCTGGATCCTGGCTTGGGATCAGTTCAGCTCTGGCTGTTGCGGCCACTTGGGGAGTGAACCATCAGACGGAAGATCTTCTCTCTCCTCTTCTCTGTATATCTGATTCTCCAATAAAAATAAATAAATCTTAAAAAAAATGAATTTTAGTAAAGATGTTCCTGTTTGATTACAGGAAACAGCCCATATTAGAAAAAGTAAGTGTTAATAAATTCACACACAACTTCAGAAGCTCATATGAAACTCTTAATGCAAAACACAGGAACACAGGCAAACCTGCCATTCACATGAAAGAAAGAAGTGTGGCCTTTTGTTTTAAGTTTAGTTATGTCTATTTTTAAAAATTTTTTAAATTATTATTAGTAAGCCAGATATACAGAGAGGAGAGAGAGACAGAGAGGAAGATCTTCTGTCCATTGATTCACGCCCCAAGGGGCCGCAATGGCCTGAGCTGAGCAAATCCAAAGCGAGGAGCCCAGAGCTTCTTCTGGGTCTCCGACATGGGTGCAGGTCCCAAGGCTTTGGATCATCCTCGACTGCTTTCCCAGACCACAAGCAGGGAGCTGGATGGGAAGCGGGGATGCCAGGATTAGAACCACCGGTGACCACATGGGATTCCAGCACATGTGGAAGGCAGGACTTTAGCTACTAGGCTACCATGCTGGGCCCATCTCCAGGTTTTAGAAGGTTTTGCCACCTGGGGGCTAAGTCATGGCTGTCTTTGAGTCTGCTTTCTCTACTTCACCATGGTACTCCCCAAAAGCCTAGAACAGTGCTTGGTATGGAGCAGGCATTGTCTGCCAAGCAAGGGAATGTCTACACCCTAAGGAGAACAAATGAGGTCATCCTAGAGTTCCTCCCAATTTTGGTGCCTGTGACCTTCGGGCTGGCTAAGCACCTTCAGTCTTGCTCAAATGTCTGTGTTATGTTGGAAGAGGAACCTGGGATGATAGTTCCCTGCTGCAGACTCTCACTGCCAAGGGCGGGACTGTTGCTCATCTGTTTCGAAGACTTCACATGCCTGCTTCTGCACCATCTCCTCTACCCCAGGCGCAAGCTTTGGCAACCAGAGCTGTCACTTTAGTGAGCATTATCTGGGATGGCAAGGCGCATGGGCATCCTAAAGTCCATGGAGCTCCCCAGATCTGCAGTCTCTCTTATTACCTTGGGGAGCTTCTAATGTGAACCCCAAGGACACAGCATACATTCCAATATTATACTCTATTTTTTTAATTGGAAAGTCATATATACAGAAAGGAGGAGAGACAGAAAGATCTTCAACTGCTGATTCACTGCCCAAGTGGCTGCAACTTCTAGAACTGAGCTGATCTGAAGCCAGGAGCCTGGAGCTGCTTCTGTGTCTCCCATGTGGGTGCAGGGTCCCAAGGCTTTGGGTCATCCTTGACTGCTTTCCCAGGCCACAAGAAGGGAGCTGGATGGGAAGTGGGGCCGCCAGGACATGAACTGGTGCTCATGTGGGATCCTGGGACATGCAAAGTGAAGACTTTAGCCATTAGGCTACTGCACCGGGCCTTATACTCTAGCTACGTTACACCCTAGACACCAGAATAACAGTCTGTTCATCAAAGCTAACATGGCACATGCAGAAAACTGTTAAAATGGAAATTTGCTTAAACCACCAGGAAACTGTCAGTCTTATGCTGAAAGTCAGTGTGTAGATGTAATTATTCACACTGAAATGAAGGAAATCATTTTATGCTATCTTAAATGTTAAAAAAAAATCTAGGGGCGGGTGTTTGGGCTAGTGGTTAGGACACCCACATCCCCCCATCACAGTCCCCAAGTTCATTTCCTAGCTCACACCAATGAACATCCGGGGAGGTGGTGGGCAGCAGTAAGGGCTCAAGGAACTGGGTTACTGCCATCCATGTGGGAGATCTGGATTGAGTAGCTCCAGACTTCACCTTGGCCCAGCCCCAGCCATGTGGCGGCATTTGGAAAGTTAGCCAGTGCATGCGAGCTCTCTCTCTCTCTCTCTGCCTCTCAGACAGACAAAATCTAAGCCACTTTCACTATTGCCTTCCTCGATGCTGGTTATCACTTTTAATGAAAAACAAACCCATGATAGTCACTGCCAGATACTTTCCTGCTTGGGCAGGCCTGTCGCATTCTCACATCACCTAAACACTTCACTGTTTAGTACCGCATTATTAGAAAGAATGGTTCTATTCTACAGGACAGCACATAAAAAAATTTACGGAGCAAACTGCAATAGACTTGTAAGTTACATCTTAGAAATTAAAACCAGAAAGATGGTCATTCATCACGAAACCAGGGATACAAGATTATTCCAAGTGTCAGAGCCAGTGACTGCACAACCCACACCACCTCATGGATACACATAAATTCATGCAGAGGCCTGCCGCTTTATTCACACACCTCCTTCCCACAATAATAGGTAGAAAGCTGTACCTGGCCAACAGTCCTCAGTAACATTCACAGCCACCTCAGTCCTCTAGCACAGCATAACTAATCTTGTTAGATGCAGGGGTTGCGCTTAGCTAGGACTAAATGTTTGTAGTGACAAATGGCTTTAACACTTGCGCTAGTTTGGCAGCACATGAAAGGTGACACCAAAGGCTCCATCTGAGTAAAAAAACAGCAGACTGTTGCAAGTGCGCAGCAGCTGAGCAGGAAGAAAAGGCAGGCCTGTTCCTCTGGCTCTCCTTCACCCATTCCAGCCATACTTCTTTTTTTTTCCCCCAAGTCACAAGACACACATTGTGTACACGGCCAAGGAGGTTAACTGAGATTGTGACCAGGTGGACCAGGATTAAACAAGAAAGAATGTGGATGGTGAACCCAACAGGGATGCAATCGCTCATGATCCAAATTCTCACGGAAACCAAAGCAGCTGTTCTCGCTGTCAGGAAAAGGGCCACAGAGAGGCCAGTCTTCCTCTGCACTGAGGGGAACCCCTTCTCTAGGTGTGCTGGGGCACTCCATCCTCACTGGCCCTGACCCATCCTCGGTGTGAGCCTGTCTTTCAGGATTCCAACAGCATCGGCCAGTGGATTTCGCTCAACGACACTGCCTTGACACATGTTGAAATCACAGAACCAGACCTACCAGGCTGAGGTTTCTGATCCTTTATCTCAGTCTACTGCTACTCTATACGTGGGCCACGTGTCCTTATTAAGCCCAGTAAAAACAAGAGTTACAAACTAGAGTTCTAACAGGGGGGATGAGGCCTTTTACACACATCTCCATCCCTCACCTCATCAGCACCCGGCTATGGCTATTATTTTCTCAGATCTATACGTTTCTTCAGGAGCCTCTTCCATTATCTCCAAGCCCCATGAGAGGAAACACTGCCTTTGGGACATCTCTCCTGTCACACTTCTGGTGCTCTTGCCTTAAAAGCTTTGGGACATTCAGACACAGCTGTTAAACCGTCCCTGTGAGCCAACAGGAGCTGGACCATTACAGGAGACAAAGCAGCCGCTGAAGTGTCTTCCTCGTAACCCCCTCAGGAACAGGACGAAGGCCCTGTGACTCCTCACTCGCCCTCTACCTGGCTCCTGTCAGAAGTGACAAAGACACAAATGCCACTTTCAGGCTGCCGTGCAATGGACAAAATAACTGTCCTTTGTTTCAGAGTTCCTAAAAGTTGACTGAAAAGACAAAACCTAAAAAACTAATGTTCCTGGGCTCAGCGGCATTGCCCCGGGATGGGCTTGCGGGTGGCTATCATAGCTTTCTGTGCTCCTCCGTGCCTCCCCACTCCACAGCCCCCCGACCGGTGACAGCCACACACAGACATGGTCACCCCAGCCTTGGCCACCCCACAGACACCTCCCTCTTCCCCGTCCCCCACACACGGGTTTGCGATCACGTGCGTGGTCACATGGACCGGCCCACCCAGGACCACACTCACACAGTCACATCCGGCCGAAACAGCAGTGCACGCCACCCACCATGCGACATACCCCCAAAGCCGCAGCCCCCTGCCCGGGGCCCTGCGCGCCCTCACCTGCCGTGGCCGCCCCCACGTCCCTGGCCCTCCTCCTCTCGGCAGTGCTGGGTTCCAGTCCTGAGGCGGGCCGGGCCGTGGAGGCGGCTGGGCCCGGGACGCGGGCCGGAAGCCGGAGCGCTCAGGTCCTCCGGGGGCCGCGGGCTGTCGGGGCGCGCGGGAGGCCGGCCTCCCAGGGGCGGGGCGTGCGGCCCGGCGAGCTCGGCCCGGCGCGTCCCCTCCTCCGGAACCGGGCTCCGCCGGCCTCCCGCTTCCGGGTTCGGGGTGGGCGGGGCCACGTCGCGGGGAAGGGCGGGCCGTCACCATGGCGACGGGGCGTGGCGTGGGAGGCCGCCGGCGCGTTCCGTTCTTCAGGATGTAGGGCAGCCAGGAACCGGTGCAGCGGGCGGGGGTGGAGGCACGAATTTCCCCTGGGTCAGGTCTGGGTCATCTGTGTGACGTGGGCATCCGGGAGGAAGTGGGAGGAAGGGGGCGCCTGGCCCCTGCCTTAGGGTGTGATGGGCGTGCGTTCTCGTAAAGCTTTGAGGACGTTTGTTTGGGTTCCAAATTTTGGGGAACTGGGCTGTGCACAAGCTTGGCAGGTTTTGTTTATTTTACAAGCCACGCCTCCAGCCTCGTGCTCCTGTTTGAGAGCATTTCTGGAAGCAAACTCCTCATCCAGCCGTCCCGTCAGCAGTTTCCTTGAAAGATGGCTTTATAAAGATGAGTTTACAATCATTGTTCACAGGCGGCCCGACTCCTTTCCTGTTAAACATCTCCAGGTTTGCACCAGAGTAGTGTACGGCAAGGTTGAATAAACGTGTTGGTCTTGCTGGCAGCTTTTAAGGGATTCTCCCATCAGGTCCTAACATGTCCCTCTTTCATAAGTTGTAGGGAAACCCTGTTCCCTAGTGGCCCGTGGTCTGTGTCCTTACCCAGGCATTAAGGTCAGGGAAGACTCCAGTTAAAGTGCATTCTTAGTAACGACCTCTGTCCTCTGGCTTGGGAACCTGGGTTCCATGCCAGGTTTTGGCCAGCCTCCCTTGGCCTTTCCCAAGACCTGGTGACACACCTCCTGCCTTTCCAACTCCCCTCGTTGGTGGTAATGGCCAGCCACAGGAACTGATGATTTACTGTAAGCCTCACACTGGTGTGTACAGCATATTTCCACAGAAGGTTTCAAAACCGTGGGGGACTTCCCTGAGAATTCTGGAATGGTTTAATGAGGAGACTAAGTGGCAAGCCCCAAGCTGCATGGACAACTTATGCTGGGCACTGGTTTCCATTTCTCTTGCTGGACTGGGACCTCTGCCTGCAGCTGAGAAACCAGTGCCTTCCACGAACAGCTCCTTGCCAGCACGCAGGGAAGCCTCTTAAAACAAATACTTGTCCACTATGACAAGACCTAAGTTTAGAGAACAGGATCTGGGGTTTCTTTTCTTTATATATATATATTTACATATATATATAAAATTATTATATTTTTGACAATCTTTACATAGTTAATTAGGGTAAAAAGGTTCAAGGGCTATAAGAAAGTGGGTAAGACTATTATTTCCATATTGTTTCCTTCATGTTTAAAGGGGGATATTAAGGGAGAAGGCCCACCCAATTTCCCACCCTCCCCAGGTCCCGGATGTAGGGTATGCTCCAAGGTTCTTGCTCAAGTGGTTTTGATAGTTCAACAGTTATGAATCGCTGCCAATCTTGCCACTCCAAGCACTATGAGGTCTTTGAAGAATCCACTGATTGACATAGTCCATCATAGAGTCTCTGTTTGCCCTGTATTTCGCTGCCAACATATAGCTGAGATGGTTGATTGACCTGTTCTGTCTTCTCTTTTCTTGGTTAGGGTTCTGAGTCCAGCATTTCAATTGGGGAGATCTCCAAAGAAACTTTGAGGTGTTCTCAGACCAAATTCTTGAATGTACTAGCAAGTACAGGGCCCGGCACAGTCCATGGCCCTGATCAGCTGGTGGTTGCAATTGCTGGGTTGGTTCTGTTTTCAGCCCCAACTTCCACTGGAACCAATGGGTGTTGCAGTCCAGCCTGGTTCTGCCCAGCACATACTTGGCCCTCGCATAAACCAGTGGGAGCTGCAGCCTAGTTGGAGCGACCCACAATAACCCCACCAGGCCCGCCCCCTACCCTGGTTTGCCAGTATGTGTAGCAGACTAGTCCAGTCTGTCCCACACCCCATTCCACCCCAGCCCCTGTCCTGGTTTTCGTGCCCTCCTGTAGAAGTGGTAACCCAAGAGGGAGGAGCCCACTATTTCCCTCCCAGGCCTCTCCCACTCCTGGATTGTGCTCTCTCCAGGTAGTTCTGTGGTTTGACTTGACAGAACTAGGCCCCAGTGCCAGCTTCTGCCAGCTGATGCTGTGGCTAAGCCAAAACAACCCTCACCCACTCTAATTTTGTTTGCACCAGTAGGAATAATCAGCCCAGTCTGGCTTTTCCCGGATCTAGTCCACCTGAGGCGTAAAGGTTTGTAGCCCTGCTTAGTCTGGTCTGTCCTGATCCCAGCTCACGCTCTCCAGTGGGAGTAGCTAGAAAGGGATCCACTAAGACTGCCCCCAGCCTTCACGGGGCTACTACCTTTGTTCCTTGGCAGCAACACAGTAAGACATAGATCCCCCTAGACTGCAAGACCTCAGGAGCTTGGCCACGCTGATTGTACCATTTAGTTTCTCTTTCTCTCACTTAAAAGTGAAAGCTCACTTCTACTCTCACCCTTGTGTCTGATCTCATAAACTGTCACAGAGACCAGGACATGAACCTGGACTCATCTCACCGGTTTTCTGTAATAGTGATCTGGCCTGTCATCCTTGGGCACTAAGGATATACTGAGTGTATTCATGCGTGAATGAATCGAGCAGTGTGTATTCAGCAAACTGCAATTCTCCCACATCCCTAAACCTCACTTTAGCAATAGCTTTAATGAGATCTAAGCCTGAGGGTATCCCTGTGTATATCAGAAGCCCTTGTTCTGTTAGTGTGTGAGATTTTTGAATTTGACTGCTGATAATAGAAAAACCTATAATTTATGTAACTATAGTTCACAACCTACCTACTTTCATTATTTTGTAAAAGATCAAAAGTGAACATAATGGAAGGTTTTGTTTCCCTTAGAAAAGAACCCACTCAGTTGTTCTGTAACAAATGGCAAGCACATTGTCAGTCCCCTTAATCCCAACAAGGAACATTTAATATCTGTGAATTCCAGCTGTCCTGTAAGGCACAACTGTAGGCAGCACGCTGTTGACCCCCACTGGCGACAGGGCAGGCAGGCCCGGTGGATGGGCTGCAGGCACTTGCAGCTGTCCTGGCTGGCACGGGCCCCATGGTTCCCACGGTACCACTCCCTGTGTGAGGATCTCATCGAGAAACTGGAATGCTCATGCAACAGGTTGTGAACATCAAGTAAACAGATGGCCAGTAGGCTCTCAGAATTGCCCAGACCCACGCTCTGTCCCTCTTACTGATCTTTTGACAGGATAGTATTTTAGAACTCACCTTCACCATAACCCTAGATATATCATTGTGCATATATACAATAAAACAATGCACTTCTTAAGTTTCAAGGTTTGACCATGGAGTGCATGTGTCAAAGCTGATGAGCTGCCTCAGTGGCTTAGACGGAGCAGTGGACGACATATCCAGGTGCACATGGAGAATATGGCAGTCCATTGGAGCCTGCAGAGGACACCTGGTCCTGTACCATAGGATGGAGGACAGAACAAATCAATCCACTATCCCAGCCAAGAGTTGGCAGTGAAAACCTGGGCAAATGGAGACTCTAAGGTGGACTATGTCAACCAATGGATTCTGGAGATTTCATCGTGCTTGGAATGGTGAGATTGGCAGCAATTCAGAACTGTTGAACTATCAAAACCACTTGAGCAGTGCCCTCAGAGCATGCCCCACATTGGAGACCCTGGGATGGTTGGGAGGCTGGGGGGGGGTTTCTCCTCTTATCTCTCCCCTTCCCTCAGATATAGGAAGGAAAAAAGAGAATGTGGAAACAATGGTCTTACCCACTTTGCTGTAGCCCTTGACCCTTTTTGCCCTAATCAACTATGTAAAGATTATCAAAATAAAAATAAGAATAATAAAAATGCACGTTCAGATCTGGCGTGATAGCATAGTGGTTAAGGTCCTCTCCTTGCACACATTGGGATCCATATGGGTCCCGGTTTTAATCCCCACAGCTGCGCTTCCCATCCAGCTCCCTGCTTGTGGCCTGGGAAAGCAGTCGAGGATGGCCCAAGTCTTTGGGACTCTGCACCCGTGTGGGAGACCCGGAAGAAGCTCCTGGCTCCTGGCTTTGGATTGGGTCAGCTTCAGCCATTGCGGCTGCCTGGGGAGTGAATCATCGGACGGAAGATCTTCCTCTCTGTCTCTCCTCCTCTGTATATTTGCCTTTCCAATAAAAATTTTAAAAAATCTTTAAAAAAGAAAATGTACTTTCTGAATGTGGATAAAGACCCATGCGAAATAGCATAGTGGTCACTTTGGAGGAGAAGTGGAGATAGAAGGAAGCAGGAGCAGTAAAGGAAAGCTTTGGCTTTGGATTTAGTATTTGAGCTTATGTAAGCATGTATTCAAGTATTTGACAAAAACTAAAAGCAGCTACATCCATGTGGCCCCCTTCCTGTGAATCCTTTACTAACTCCCCATTGCCTTGCAGCTCAAGTTCCAAGTTACACAGCTGAGAGCAGGTCTGGCTTTCCACTCTGTGTGAGACCAAAGTGCTCCCTACTGCTCCAAAGGCCTCTCGTCCCAAACCCCATGATGCCTCAGTCCTCCAGGCTTCGGTACAGGCTCTTCCCTGTGCTTGGGGGCCTCCCACTGGAGGGAATGTCCCTTCTTCACCCCAGGGACTATGCAAGTGTAGCAAAGTGAAAGGGACCTAAGCACTTGACTTTTTAGACCAGTGCCAATGCTTGGAATAGCATCCTTTGGAGCTTCCCAGAGCACAACTCCCTGCAGTGTTGGACATGAGATCACGCTGGGAGCCAGGATCGGGAAATGAATGCTGCTACCCATAGGCAGATCAAGTTCGTGTCAAGTGCACACTGCAGGGGATTACAGAGATCAGGCAGAGTGGGACTGGAACTGCCTGAGAAAGATGCCAACGTGTCTGTTCTGTGGCTTGATATCCGAAAGTTTTATCAAATAGATTATAGATTACTTGTGATTAATAGTTTATTGTCATCTGGGACTCAAACCTGAGTTCTGTCTTTGGGCAAGACACTGCTCCGTGTTGTTTCCTTCTTTAAAATGTAAGTCCAACTTTGGACTAAATGAGCTATAAGTTCTTGGCAATTTTGGTATTTTGGACTCTATAAATACGAGATGCAAGTTGAAACTTCATATAGCCTTTGCCCAGAGCTACTCTTCTCTGGTCATATTTCCCCTTCTTCTTGCTCTCAATGATATTTTTTAAGAAGATCCATTTAAATAATGGAAGTAAATTAAAAAAAACTTATTTTTATTGGAAAGACAGATCAGATTTGTGGAAAGGAGACAGATCTTCCATGCACTGGTTCACTCCCCAAATGGCCCTAACGGCTGGAGATGAGCTGATCCAAAGCCAGGAGCCCCTCCAGGTCTCCCACACAGGTGCAGGCCACAAGCAAGGAGCTGAATCCAAGTGGAGCAGGCAGGACATGAACTGGCATCTATATGGGATCATGATGCGTGTAAGGTGAGGATTTAGCTACTGAGCCATCACTCCAGGCCCTCATTACTACCTTTTAAAAACAAAAATTCCTAAGCAAAGATACCCCATCTTGTGTATCATTTGCCAATGTAAGCAATCAAGGATAGTGAGCTCCCCAGTTTACCTGTCAAAAGCCTGCAGTAGCCAGGAATAGGCTTGGCTAAAGCTGGGGGCTGGGAACTCGATCCAGGTCTCCACGTGGGTGGCAGAATCCAATGACTTGAGCCTGTACTGCTGTCTCTGAGTCTGCAGCAGCGGGAAGCTGGTGCCAAGAAGCCAGAACTCAGTATGAACCTCAGGTATTCCAACATGGGGTGTGAGAGCCTCAGCCGGCACAGTAGCTCTGTGCCGAATACCTGCCCTGATGAATTGACCTTCTGGAAGAACAGCAGTAAGAAACTTGGAAAAAAAGAGTTGTATTATTTTATCCTCCCAAATAGCCGTTTATTTCTGTAGAGTTCTACAGTCTATCTGGATATAGTGGGTCCTCAGTTAACATGCCCTGTCCTTGGGCTGGCATAGTGCCACAGGGGCTGCCATAATGTAGCAGGCTAATCCTTTGACTATGGTGCTGGCATCCCATGTGGCCACTGGTTCGAGTCTCTGCAGTTTCACTTCCAATCCAGCTCCCTAATGGCCTGGGCGAGCAGCAGAGAATGACCTGAAGCCTTCGGCTCCTGCACCGCTATGGGAAACCTGGAAGAAGCTCCTAGCTCCTGGCTTTGGACTGACCCAGCTCCAGCCATTGTAGCCACCTGGGGAATGAACCAGTTGGATAAAAGATTCTCTGTCTCTCCTCTCTATAACGCTGCCTTTCAAATAAAATCTTTAAACAAACAAAAACGAAACAGTTCATGTCCTTCCATTTCTTCATTTCTGAGCACCAAGGCCTAATAGCCGATGTTCTTTAATCAAGGGCAAAAATGTTGGCAAATAAGACACTTGGAGTCAGATGACAGCAGTGTGGATTCTGGCTCAACCTAGAAGCGGTTACTTAACCTTCTGGAAAGATGAGACCCAGTAATACTACCTATTTCATAATGCTATTGCAGAGATAAAATTAGGTAGTTCGGGTAAAGTCCTTAGACCCGAGCCTGGCACATCACATGTGTGAGCCCACACTAATGACATTGAGAACCTGCGGTCCAGGCGCTGGCTAGCTGTGCTGTTTCTGTTCCTCATAACATGCCTGGCAAAGGAGATGCAGGTTGTCACTTGGCGGCCACAGAGCAGCCTGGGGCTGCAGTTAGCGGCGGTGTGGGGTGCAGGCTGGGTTTGTGGACTCTCTCTGAGTGCCCGTCAATGGAAAACTGTATTTTTGCCTAGAGGATATTTGATGAAAATAGACTGTAAAGATCAAGTATAAAAGCAATAAACATCCTTCTGGCTGCTGTTCTCTTGAATTTAATTTTATGCTCAAACATTTTTATTGTCCTCTAAACCAGAATAAGACCCCCCTTTTTTCCCCTCACATGAAGTCCATCGTCCTCTTTAGGTTCTTAATCCTGGAGTTGTCACTAGGCAGCAGGTCCCGGTTTCTCTATTTCTAAACTGACATCTGGAATTACACAGATCTGCTTCCTGACCTCAAACTTTCTTCCTACTGTGGCTCTAAGGCAGCTCCTTTAGATGCTACTGCCACCCAGAGGAGCAGATGAAGTTGCAGGCCCAGATGAGGGATGAGAGCAGCTGGATCATGGTGGTGTATCAGTCAGGAGTCTCCAGAGAAAGAGTCAGCTAGCTGTGTACACGAGGATATTCAAAAGCACGGGTCTGGCATGGTAGCCTAGAGGCTAAAGGCTAAAGTCCTCGTCTTGCACACACCAGGATCCCATATGGGCTCCAGTTCTAATCCCAGCAGATCTGCTTCCTATCCAGCTCCCTGCTTGTGGCCTGGGAAAGTGGTTGAGGACAGCCCAAAGCCTTGAGACCCTGCACCTGCATGGGAGACCCGGAGGAGGCTCCGGGCTCTTGGCTTCATATTGGCACAGCTCTGGATATTGTGGCTGCTTGGAGAGTGAATCAATGGATGGAAGATCTTCCTCTCTGTCTCTGCTCCTCTTTGTATGTCTTTCTTATAATAATAATAAAAATAAAAATAAAAAAATAAAATTACTTTGAGCCCAGTGCAATGGCTCAATTAGCTAATCCTCCCCTTGCCAAGTGTTGGGATCCCATATGGTTATCAGTTCATATCCTGGCTGCTCTATTTTTCATTCAGCTCCCTGCTTGTGGCCTGGGAAAGCAGTGGAGGCCGACCCAAAGCCTTGGGACCCTGCACCCATGAGGGAGACCTGGAAGAAGCTCCTGGCTCTTGACTTCAGATCAGCTCAGCTTTGGCCATCTCGGGAATGAAGCAGAGGATTTAAGATCTTTTTCTTTCTCTCCCATTCTCTGTAAAATCTGATCTGTCTCCATTCTCCCCCTCTAAAAACAAACAAACAAACAAACAAACAAATTAACCCCTCCTTTCAAAATCCATATACATACCAATCAGTTGCCCTTGCTTTTAGGGCCAGATACAATCTCCTTGAGTTTGACATAAATCCAAATTTTATTTAAACGTCTTGTTATACAAGTAGAAAAGGTTGCTTTCAACTTTCTTGACACAAACAGAAGAAAGGGCGGCAGTCCATCTTCTCTTTCTCCAACTGTATCATCTTCTTTAGAAATCAAGGCAATTCCTTATAAATAAGGCTTTTTGTAAGTGACAAATACGTAATAGGTTCCTGTCCATCTTCTTCCTACTTAATACACTGTTGCATAGCAACAATTTTTTTTCTCCAGCTTCTTCTTAGCTGTTAGTCTGAGAGTCTGAAATCTGCACTGGCTTGGTTGAGCTTGGGAATGTTTTTGGTACCAAGGGTGTAAATATCCATTGTAGAAGTCAGTGGCTGTCAGAGTTTTTTTAAGCATTACTGATCGGACGCCAATCCAGCCATCCTAAAACAGTGCAAGAGACAAACAGTGAGTAGGCAGTGGTGGCAGAACTGAAAAAAACTAACTACACTTTAGCTCATGACTTATTTATTTTGGACGCAAACCGTTACAACATGCCAAGCTGCAAAAAGCACTGTGGTAGGTCACATGCGCCATTTCTTGGCTCTGAAGGTTGACTACCAGAGGGAGAGCAAAACCCATCTAACCTAACGGGGGCAGAACAAGGGGGCGCCATTGGCAGGGTGGTCTTCCATGGCTTTCTGAGTATGTCCACCTGCCCTGCTGTGACTGGACAATGTGACATCATCAACAGTAGGCAGAACCAGTTTCCTCTTCATCTCTGAAGGCAAAACTGATGCCCAGAGAGGGTGGGTGATTTGTTGAAAGTAGCACAACCCGGTGAGACTCAAACCCACGTGTGCCCACAGTCCCAGCTCTGAGGGCAAACTGCAGGCACGTGGTGTGCGATCACCAGACAGAGGCGTCCAGCCATGCTCCAGAACCCACTGGGCAGATGAAGAGGGGCTGCTGGGGGCGGATGGGCGAAGGGGCTCTGCATCCACAGTCTGTGTAGGCCATGTCAACTCATCACTGTTCTTTAACATTTACAAGACAGCAAGTCGGGGGAGGCAGAATATTTTTCAGGAATATGTCTTGTTACAGCTCAAGTCATTGCACACAGTTCAATGTCTCTCCAAGAACTGCTGGGCAACCAAAGCAGGAGGACTTTTACCCCGTAGTCATTCAGCAGGACACTGGATGTGACTATCTTTTATGTTACCAAACACAACAGCCTGTTAGCTAGACTGCATTACTGAAACAAATTTACAGACACAAATTTTCTTTTAAGAAAGGATTCAAGTTCCTTAACCATCTTTTTTTTTTTTAAGATTTTTGAAAAATTTATTTTTATTGGAAAGTGAGATATACACAGAGGAGGAGAGACAGAGAGGAAGATCTTCTACATGCTGATTCACTCCTCAAGTGACCGCAACGGCCGGTGCTGCACTAGTGCGAAGCCAGGAGCCTCTTCCAGGTTTCTCCCACGTGGGTGCAGGGTCCCAAGGCTTTGGGCCGTCCTCCACTGCTTTCCCAGGCCACAAGCTGGATGGGAAGCGGGGCCACCAGAATTAGAACTGGCACCCATATGGGATCCTAGCGTGTTCAAGGCAAGGACTTTAGCCTCTAGGCTACTGCACTGGGCCCTCCTCAATCTTCTTTCCCTGACCAAGTGACAATAAGGCCTTGGCACAATAGCAAGAGAATCTCACAAAGCTTTGCTAAGGATTTCAGTATTTCTTAAGAAAAGTAAGCTGTCTACTGCCCAATCAGAAGGACAAGCAGCAATTACGTGAAGCCTGAACTAGATAATGATACAAATGATAAATTCAGGGTCCAGCATGGTAGCCTAGTAGCTAAAGTCCTTGGAGCCTTGCATGTACTGGGATTCCATATAGGTGCCAGTTCATATCCTGCCTGTTGCATTTCTCTTCCATCCCCCTTCATGTGGCCTGGGAAAGCAGCAGAGGACAGCTCAAAGCCTTGGGACTCTGCACCTACATGGGAGACCCAGAAGAAGCTCCTGGCTTTGGATCAGCTCAGTTTGGGCCATTTTGGCAACTTGGGGAGTGAGCCAGCAGATGGAAGATGTTTCTATCTCTCCTTCTCTCTGTAAATCTGAGTTTTCAATAAAAACAAATCTTTACAAAAAATGATAAAATCAGTAAAAATCAGTATGGTAATTTCAAACTAAAGGAAAATGTACCTTGCAACAAACCAGCAACATCTGTGACTGCTTGTGGTATATAACGGAACCTGGAGTAACAGTCTGTTCTGTTAGTTTGGGATCTGAAGAATGAGGGCGCGGGGAGAGAGAATGAAAAATAATAATTATGCAATTTCTTGGTATTTTCTCAAAAAAGAAAAAGGTAACATTTTGAGAAGCAGTGTGTTCATACTGGAAAGGATGTATTTGCTGATCTCCTACTTTATAATCATGCTTTAAAAAAAAAATTATTTCCGGGGCCAGCACATTGACTTAACTGGTTACTCCTCCTTCTGCAAGAACTGGGATACCTTATTATGGGTACTGCTTTGAGTCCCAACTGTTCCACTTCCCATCCAGCTCTCTGCTTATGACTTGGCAAAGTAGTAGAGATGACTCAAGACCTCGGGACCCTGTGGCCACATGGGAGACCTGGAAGAAGCCCCTGGTTTCTGATCAGCTCAGCTCCACCCATTGTGCTCATTTATGGAGTGAACCAGCAGATAGAAGATCTTTCTATCTTTCCTTCTCTCTATAAACCCGCCTTCCCAATGAAAACATTGGGAACACAGAATTCAGAGAGCCATGCAGTTCCCTGGCCTAGATTCTCACTGAGCTGCCTGAACATTTTCATCGTGATATTTATCAGAAAGAAACTAACCGAGTCAGTTTTTACTCCCTGAACACATTACTGTACCACATCACAGACTTTAAACAGAAGCGAATTTGGCCTGCCTCCTAGGTTCCCATGATGGTTACGACAGTTCATGTGAATAGACTTTGTAAGGAGCAAGAGAAGTGAATGTAAACTATTATCATCACTGAACAGAATTAAAAATAATTCGTATCTTTTTTTTAAGTAAATGTATAAAATGAACACAATTTTAAATAGATGGCAGTGAGAACATCTTCAACGTTAGTTATTCAGTTAGTACCAGCAAGGACCGAACTGTCCACTTCTACCAAATCCAGAAGTTTAATGGTGTTTTCCATCCAGAGTGTCTGCAACGGAATCTGCAAATAAAATACACGAAGGGTTCATAATGGAGTATTTTCAATCTGTAAGTCTTGCTATTTTGTGTTAATCTGGTCTGACTTTTCTCCCAGTTACAGAGGAACTGGGAACTTGGTCGTTAAACTTACGACACACAACATAAGCATGGTCCTCTCTCAGTTTCTCCAGGGTTTATAAGACCTTAAACATTATTTTTAAAACAGTGTTTTAAAAACACTTTATTAATATTTCCAATTTAAATATATATTTATAAAAAATTCAAGCACTACAGCACTGATGTTAAAAACCATCTCTTAGAAAGTGATATTCTGTAACCAATATTTTGAATATTATTACAAAAATCTATAACAAAGTTTTACAAAGATCTTATACTTTACATTGGCCACAGACAATTTTTCATTACTTCTTTCTATTTCACTCTGTATATGCAGTATATATTTCAGTTTTTTAAGATGCATATTCCAGTTTTTTTTTCAATTTCTTGATATTATAAAGTGTTACTGATCGGTTTTTTAGATGTATCTTTGAGCACTATGCATTTCTGGAAAATAGTTTTTGTGTGTGGTTTTAGGTGGAATGTCTGGGTTACAGACTTACATAAGGAATCTATTGCTGACTATTAGTGAGGCAAGTCAACTTGTCACATATCTTGAAGATTTACTTATTTATTTTGCTTTATCAGCTGATATATTTCTTTGATTTTATTTAATTGTATACGTGAAGACCAAGGGTGTTTTCTTAGTTATAAAGCAATCTTAAAAAAACCCCTCTATTCAACCAAAACACTATGTCTTGTCATGTTTCATAAACAGTCTAGTAAATACTAACAGGTTTCTTGTACATATTATTCCAGCTCTGGAATAGTCTGATCACATTTTCATAACTAGCCAGTCAATTCACTTTTACCAACCACAAAAATTAAAAAGACATGCTGTCTGTAAATTCATTTGCTATCTTAAAGCTTTCAAATCAAAGAGAAAATATTTACATCTCAAATACAAAATTAAAAATTGTTGGCCTCTAAAAATCAATGACTTACATGATCATGAATTTTTCTTTCTTTCCTTCTTTTTTTTAACCAATTCATTATATCTATTCAACATGTGCATCACTGGTACTTACTAAACCTTATCAATGCTTGCATGTTCTGTTGGGTTCATTTTGCTTTGTTGCTTCTTAAGAAGTTACCTGAATCTGTTCTCAGAAAAGGATCAGGATTTTTGGAAAACCAACGCAGCTACAGTGTTTCCAGATCTGCCACCAAAGCTGAAGGTAGGGGTTGGCAGTCCTTCAACAAGTTCAAATCCTTCGCTGAATTCACTACGTAACTATTCCTTGGTCCAATTACAGAGTTTATTAGGAAAAAGCCTTTTGCTTCTAACACCCTGGAGAAGGAGTTCACAAATTGCTTCCTCTTGTCAACTGCATTGTCAGGATTAAGGCTTATGGCATCAAAAGTCCCTTTGTTGATACAAATTTGAAATCCAGACAGCTTTGTGGAAAGATTCAAAAAGTCTTCCACCTTTAATTTGATGTTAGATAACCCTTCTTTCTCTAGGATATTTCCAGAAAGCTGAACTGCCAAGGGAGAGTAATCAATTCCAGTAATATTACTGAAACCAAATTTTGCAAGTTCAACCAGGAAGACACCATTTCCAGTTCCAACATCCAGCACTGAAGCATCCAATAGAACCTTCCGTTTCTGCATCCACCTTAGCAGTCGGTCATGCTCTCTTCTCCAAAGCAGATTTCTCCTGTATCCCCACATTCCCGGAAAGTCTGTAGTTCTCTCTCAGACAGCATCCCAATGCTCTCTGGTCTCCAAAGCGGACAGGCCGAAGCCATCCTCAGTGGGACTGTGTGCCCCAGCCCGCGCCGTGGCCTCCCCGCTGCCGCTGCCATCGTCAGCACCCCAACTCATCTCCAAGAGTTATTTATTTTTATTGGAAAGGCAGATTTGCAGAGAGAAGGAGGGACAGGGAGAAAGATTCAACAAACAGTGGCTCACTCCTCAAGTGGTTACAACAGCCAGAGTTGAGCCAATCTGAAGCAAGGAGCTTCTTCCGGGTCACCCATTGCAAGTGCAGGGTCCCAAGGCTTTGGGCCATCTTTGACTGCTTTCCCAGGCTACAGGCAGGGAGCTGCATGGGACGTTTAGCAGCTGGGACATGAACTGGTGCCTATATGGGATCCTGGCACATGCAAGGTAAGGATTTAGCCAATGAGCCATCGTGTCAGGCCCACCCTTTGCATATATCTTACCAACTTTTTCATATCTTAATAATTTGCAAAGATCTTTTTATATTTAAGATAGTAGCTTTTTAACTCATGTATGTGTTATGAATATTTTTCCTAATCTGTTGACTTAATTTTAGTGTCAGTCATTCATTTCCATGTTTAAATTTTTTTCCTTTTTTTTTAAAAGATATATTTATTTAGTTCTTTAAGAGGCAGAGGGAATGAGAGATAAACACAGAGAGGGAGATCTTCCATCTCTGGTTCATTCCAAAGCTAGGATCTGCCAAAGCTAGGAGCCAGGTACTCCGTCATGGTCTCCTACACAGGAGGCAGTGACTGAAGTACCTGGGCCATTAGCCACTAGCTTCCCAAGTGCGTTAGCAGGAAGCTAGATTGAAAGTGGAGCAGCTAGGACTGGAATGGACATTTCCATATGGAATATAGGCATCTCAACTGGTACCTCAACCTGCTGTGCCACATACCAACCCCTTCAAAAGATCCTGGAATGGTGTGGACCAAAAAAGCCACATATTTTTAACTGAGAATAGTAAGTATGCAGAACACACATTCAGAACATGCAGCTCTCGTGCTTGAGTGGGGATCCCACGTGCTCATCAGAGCATTCAGAAAGGAAGATGATGGCAAGGACTTAATGTCAGTGTGCACCATCAGTACTGCTATGCCTGCGTGGACTTAAATATCTCCTTTGATCCTGGCAGCCGAGAACACGGCTAGTGACCCCACGGGAGAGGTGTGAGAACATACAGAGAACACGGAGGGCTTGCCGAGCAGCCCTGGGAATCAGTCCCCACCCTGTCTCTCAGAGCAGCGCTCCCAGTCTCCAACAGCACAGAGTGCTTCTTGCCCAACAGGAAAGTGGAGCTGCAGAAGACAGAGATGTGGAGAGGCCCCTGAGCTGTGGCCTGCACTGCATCTCAGGACGCTGCCCACTATCTCCGCATGGAAGTCTTCCAAGTGTCTCAAACACAACATGGCTCAAATCCCACGAGCTTAAGCATCAGCCTGTCCCCACACCTAAGACAACCTCCAGTTTATCTATCGTGTTATTCTATTTTCATTTTCATCAAAGAACGTTCACTTTTTTTTCTTCTTCATTGGCTTATTTGTCGTCTGTCTTCCCACACCACCTCTATCTGCAGTCCCTACTGTACTAGCTGACACATTAACAGGCTGTCAGCACCAGTTCTGCTTCTGAAAAGATGAATAACAAACAGCAGCTGTCACTGAATGCGTGCTTGCGCTCCACCAGATATCACAGGAGCTGCTTCAGGCACACTCCCCCAGCCCTTATCTTCCCACCAACAGACTCAAGCTCAGGGGTCAAGTACCTTGCCCGAGTTCCCCAAGTCACAAAGTCCCCAGAGGGGCAGAGACAAGAGGGAACCCCACCCTGTCTGCCTCGGAAGTCCCTGTTTCCTGATGCCACTTGGCTGTCGCCAGAAAAGTACACCATTTGCTCTCAGACACGTCTTGTTCAAAGCTGACTCTGACTCAGTACCTAGCAATGGGACCTTGAGCACAACTTGGTAATAGTTCACGGAGTATCTGTATCAGGCCTCAACTTATCCAACTTTAAAACTGGATAACAACAACATGTGCCTGGCCTGACAGCGTAGTTGTTAAAGTCCTCGCCTTGCACGCACCGGGATCCCATATGGGTGCCGGTTCTAATCCCAACAGCCCTGTTTCCAATCCAGCTCCCTGCTTGTGGCCTAGGAAAGCAGTTGAGGATGGCCCAAAGCCTTGGGACACTGCACCCGCGTGGGAGACCCGGAAGAGGCTCCTGGCTTCGGATTGGCAATTATCGGCTGTTGAGGTCACTCGGGGAGTGAATCATCGGACGGAAGATCTTTCTCTCTGTCTCTCCTCCTCTTTGTATATCCGCCTTTCCAATAAAAATAAATAAATCTTAAAAAAAAAAATAAAATAACAACAACATGAGGCTGCACTAAAGAATCTGGTATGGTGAGGATATCCCAAAGCAATCTCCTATTTTACCCAACATCAGTGTAAGAAGTTAGTTATGCATTAAAAAACACGTTTAGTAAACCCAGAGTGTCAATAGCATAAGCTACCAAAATGAAAAATTCCTACAAACTTATCAATGAAACGAGAATTTATCTTTGATATTTTAACCAGCTATTATGTTTATTTTGTGTGTCATATGTGGATATCAATTAATTGGGAATCTGACTATAAAAAATTGCCCAGGGGCCTGACACGGTAGCCTAGTGGCTAAAAGTACTTGCCTTGCATGTGCCAGGATCCCATATGGGTGCAAGTTCGTGTCCTGGAAGCCTCCCTTCCCTTCCAGCTCCCTGCTTGTGGCCTGGGAAGGTGGTGGAGGACAGCCCAAAGACTTGGGGGACCTGCACCCATGTGGGAGATCTGGAAGAGGCTCCTGGCTCCTGGCTCATCTCCGGCTGGTGCAGCCACTTGGGGAGTGAACCAGTGGATGGAAGATCTTCCTCTCTGTCTCTCTGTAAGTCTGACTTTCAAAGAAAAAGAAATAAATCTTTTCCAAAAAATGGCTAAAGGCAGAAAGACATACTGCAAAAAGCTTTGGATTAGGAGTTGGGAAACTTAACATTTGTTACTTAGTGACTGGGTACTCCTAAGTTAGTAACCTCATTTCTATTTCCCTGGTCTATGAAATGGGATAATTAAACGAGGTTATATATAACTGAAGATATGAACTCAAAGGCTGCTATAAAAATTAAAGTTTAGACAATATGTAAAAGAAAAAAAACCTTGATGTTTTCTAGGTTTGATTCACAAGATTCATCCCCAAACACATTCAAAAAGCAAATAAAATGCAAATAAAATCCAGTAAGATAAAACTATAACCTGAATCTTCCAACTTACTATGTTTCCAATGGCACGGTAAAGTCTGAATACTTGCGCTGAAGTTTGTTCTTCCCATTTGACACAGCTGGTGCCAGCAGATACCTTAGGAGCTAGAAGACAAAGCCATGAGTGAGGATGACCATCAGGTTCAATGCCATGAACTGATAAAAACTGATGCTCAGTAAGAGACTCAAGAGAATTTAATATTCTTCCATTGAACACATATGTTCAAAACTTTCCATAATATAAAAATAAACCGAATAAGCACTAAAAGAAAACATGAGTAGAAATTGCCCTTCTAACTATGACTGAAGGCCAAGAAACAATTAAAGATGGATATTTTGTACAGCATAAAAATCAACTTTCTTAAAAAGAATATATGCATTTGTTTGAAAGGCAGAATTAGAGAGACAGAGAGATCTTTCATCTGCTGGTTCATTCTGCTGGCTACAATGGGGAGAGCTGGGCCAGGCCAAGGCCAGGAGTCTGATACTCCATCCAGGTCTCAAACAGGTGGCAAGGACCCAACGCTCTGCTGCTTTCCCAGGCACATTACCAGGGAGACGGATCAGAAATGGAGCAGCTAGGACACAAAGTGGCACCCACTTGGGATGCTGGCATCACAGGCAGCAGCTTAACCTACAGAATCACAATGCTGGCCCCCAAATATACTTTTTAATAAGACAAAAGGAAAGTTAGATTTCAAATTTCAATTTGTATCACAGAAGGCTAATTTTTCTACTATATAAACTAATCCTAGAAACTGAGAAGATCAAAACCCAACAGAAAACCGGGCAAAAGATATCACACTTCTGGAAGAGAAAGAAATGTAAATAGTCTTTAAACACAGGAAAGGATCCTATACATCCTCCACAGGAGTAGCACTCTTTAGAACTACTCTAAAGATACAAGCTCTTACTTACAGATTAGAAAACAGCATATGCAAAAAATTGTTTCTAGAATTATTTTCTGAAGTAGCAAAAGATAGGAAACAACCCAATGCTTATCAGTGGGGCCCTGCAGGGGCACAGCTGGCTAGGCTGCCACCTGCAGTGCCAGCATCCCATAACAGAGCTGGTTCCAGTCCTGCTGCTCCACTTCTGATACAACTTCCTGCTAATGTGCCTCGAGGGCAGTGGATGACTGTCCAAGGACTCAGGCCCCTGCTGCCCAAGTCTGGGACACAGTTCCTGACGCCTAGTTTCTGCCTGGCTCAGCCTTGAGTTTGTGGGTATTGGGGAGTGATCAGGTGGATGAAAGATCTCTGTCTCTTCCCATCACTCTTCTTTCCACATTAAATAAATCTTTTTGAAAGAAATAGAGGCCCTGTTAAACAAATCCATATCATCCACATCACTAAGAACTGTGCTACCACGAAAAAGGAAAGAACAGGGTCTGGCACAATGGCTCAAATTAGTCAATTCTCCCCTTGCAAGCACTGAAATCCTGTATGGGTGTCAATTTGTGTTCTAACTGCTCCCCTTCCCATCCAGCTCCCTGCTGTGGCCTGGGAAAGCAGTAGAGGATGGCCAAGGTCCTTGAGACCCTATAACCACAAGAGAGACCTGGAAGAAGCTTTTGGTTCCTGGCTTTAGATCGGCTCAACTCCGGCTATTGTGGACATTTGGAGAATGAATCAACAGATGGGGAATATTTCTCTCTGTAGATCTGTCTTTCCAAAAAAATAAATAAATCTTTTTTTTTTTCTTTAGAAGGAAATAATAGGGCCCGGCGCGGTGGCACAGTGGTTAAGGTCCTCGCCTTGCACGCCCGGGATCCCATATGGGCGCCGGTTCTAATCCCGGCAGCCCCGCTTCCCTTCCAGCTCCCTGCCTGTGGCCCGGGAAAGCAGTGGAGGACGGCCCAAAGCTTTGGGACCCTGCACCCACGTGGGAGACCCGGAAAAGGCTCCTGGCTTCGGATCGGCATAGCATCGACCGTTGCGCTCACTTGGGGAGTGAATCATTGGACGGAAGATCTTCCTCTCTGTCTCTCCTCTCAGTATATCTGCCTTTCCAATAAAAATAAATAAATCTTTAAAAAAAAAAAAAAGAAGGAAATAATAAACTCTTTCCATGAACTGGACATGACCTTCAAGACAAACTGTTGAGTGTAGGGGAAAAGGTGAAGAATAAATTGTATGGTAGCTTTTGTAAAAAAAAAAAAAAAAAAAAGGAAAAATAAAGATATATGTATTTTTGCTTATTCTGGAAAAAGTGAACACAGCAAACTAAATGCAAAACTAATAAAAACGGTGTCCTATGACATGCAGGGATGTGGGACTGGATGAGACAGGGATGGAAGCAGGACCTCCAGGCTTTTGTAAATGCTTTGAACTTCAAAACACTTAATGCGCTTTATACGGTCAAAAAGTAAAAAATCAATCAGGAAATACAGCAATCATCAAAACAGAAAACAAACTGAAACAAAGTTAACTCTGTATCAAACTAGGTAACTGAGCTACAAGGAAACAATAATTATGGCTATAAACTGTAAACATTGTAACCTTACTGTGTGACCTTGGTAGTACAGATCTTAAGGTCCAAAACCAAAGAACAATAAGCAAGCAACCAAAAAAACATCAAGGAAATTCTAAATCTTTTCGGTGGTTTTTTTTTTGTGCTGTATTATAATACAGTATTATAATGCTGTATAGAACTAAAATATTGAAGCTATTTTATGCATAGCAAATAAACAGGGATATCTGCACAATGCCAAAGTGTTACCTCATGGGTTACCTGCTAATTGCAAAAGAGAAAACGGGTCTCTTTATACTGGATGAGATGGTGACCGCCATCTCAACGAAGGGATCAAATTCAGCTTCACTAGCTTTGGTGCAAGCTGGTATTGTGGTCTACTATTACGTCACCCTAAGACCGGAGGGGATAGAGGTGAGAGCTCTCTCAATATATCTTTTAAAACAATTTTAGCTTTTGAATCATCATATAGTTTATCTATTCAAGAAGCAAAATTAGTGATCCATGCTGTGATAAAATAGGCACTCTCTAGCTGTGGTGCTGGCATCCGAAATGGCAGCTGGTTCGTGCTTTAGCTGTTCCACCTTCAGTCCAGCTCCCTGCTCATGTGCCTGGGATAGCAGCAGCAGGTGGCCCAATCCTTGGGGTCCTGCTTCTCTGCAGGAGATCCAGATGAAGCTCCTGGCTCCTAGTCTCAAACAGCCCAGCTCTGGCTGTGGATAGCCACCTGGGGAGTGAACAAGTGATGGAAGATCTCTCTCCACCTGTCTTTCCTTCTCTCTGTAAATCTGCCTTTCAAATAAAAACAAATCTTGAAAAACTGAAAGCAAGGTTAAATTATAAAGAAAAAAAATTTAAAACACCCATGGAAATTAAAACCCAAGCTAAACCACACTGGCAAAGTATCAGCTAACCAAGTATCTGGCCTGGATTCTTCAAAAAGTCAGCAACAGAGGGAAAAAAACAGTGGAGGGATTACGCTAAAGAGGCTGAAGAAATAAAACAACTCTTAAACAGTGCAAGCCCCATTCTTTTTTTCAAACCCTAAAGCAGATTTTGACAGGAAAACTTAAATAGGAGCTAGATATTGAACGCTATTAGGAAATTCATTTTTCTTAGAAATGCATGCTAATGTACTTAGAGGCGAGAGGCTGTGATCTCCTCTAAAGGAGAAAGTTAAGCTTACTGCAAACACTAAACAGAGAGAGAGAGAGAGAGAGAGAACAGGGCCAAATTTTGTTAACTGTTGACTTGGCTGAAACTGGTATTTACTACACTAGCCTGTCTAAAGCTCTGCAGGGCACACGTTAAGAGGGAGAGGATGACTCACCAGTCAGTCCCTGGGAAAGGACATACGAGTGGGCGCTCTGTCTTTAGTCAAAACGCAGGGGAAGGGACAGCCAAGGCCCGGCTGTTTGGCCCATCCCCGAGACATCAGCCTGTCTGTGGCCTTCACTCACCGTGTGTCACCCCCTCAGCAGGCTGCTGCCGGCCCTGCTGCAGACTCTCAGGCAGAGTCCTCAGAACTGACAGGAGCTACAGGAAAACGAGATACGTTTAAGGCGAATCGAACAACAGGAGCAGAAATACATTGTAGGTCTGTACTATGAGATGCCCTGTAACTTTAAACAGAGCTGTGGGGCACATTCCGGGGGCAGTAAATCGGCTCTAGGTAAGAGACCCTGGGCCTGCTGCGTGAGCCTTGAGTCACCGCTATGCCTTCCGAGAATGCTGGGCTCCGCCTGGCTGGGAAGACCTGGGTTCGATTGCTCACTTCCCACAGCCCCTCCGTGCAGGAAGGTAGGCAATGAAGCTTTGCAGATGGAGACTGTACTCTATATATAGTCTTGGGGCTCGGGGTTCAAATCCCAGGTCTGCAACCTACCAGCTGTGTCACTGTGAAAAGTTATTTAATTTCTCTTTGGCTTTCTGTGTCATAAATCTGTGAAACAGATGCTAGCAATAACATCTCAAAGGCTAGCTGAGAAGACCAAACAAACACACAAACAAACAAAACAAAATGAACAGGGTTGGCACACAAGTCAATACCCAATAAAGAGCGGACACTATTGTAAGACCGCTGCCAGGATGAATGGTCAGAATAGAAAGTGCCATACACAATATTTGAGACAATGTTTTTCTGCTGTGTATAAGATCAGTTAGTGTATAGGGAAACATACTATTTTAGTCATTAAGTATTTGTCCAGATCCCACTGTTAGATTCAGTGTGCTGTACACAGCCATGGAGAGAACAAAGATTATCTATAAGGTGGGGTCATTAGCAGAATTCCAGGACACAGAGATGCGAATGCTGGAACCCAGGCATGGAGAGGAGGGGAAAGCTAACAGTCACTCAGGAGCCAGCTGTGGTGCTGTCTGACGGGCAGCCAGTGAGCCCCGGAGGTGTGACCTAACACACCTCACCCCCAAAGGTGACAGCTGCCGGATGGGAAACCTGCCCTGCCCAGAACTCTCCCAAATGCACATGTAATTCCAGACAGTGGCTGAAGTTTTAGGAAGTCAGGGATGAAAACTCCATTCCTCATAGATTTTTTTTTTTTAAGAAGCTTAAAATTTAAGTCCTAGAACTGTTTGCCAAAACTCTGGGGAGGTCTATGAAGCAACTGAAGAGAGGAGGGATGCGGCGGAACCATACCATGCTGGCACCCAGTCTTGACAACACCACTTCTAACTCCTTCGCAGTGCTTTTGGGGGGCACAGGCACAGTTTCCTGCTTGATAATGGGGCCCACGTCAAACCTGGCAAAGAAATCAAAATGTGGGTAATAACACGATCACTGTTTCTGAGGACAGATTATCTGTCTACCCACCATAAAGACAGTTCAGTACTGCCCACTAGTGGCGATGCTAGCCATTAGCAACAAGAAATGTGTCAAAGAGGAGCAAAGTATGTCCTGTACTTAGATTTTAAATTACTTTTTTTCCTAGGGTTGCAATCAGAGGTTTAATTACAATTACAAGTAATTCTACCAATAGGTATTATTTTTAAAATCTCTCTTTGTACACAGAAAAAAATATATTTTCTGGGCCAGGCACAGTAGCCTAGTGGCTAAAGTCCTTGCCTTGAACATACCAGATCCCATATAGATGCTGGTTCCTGTCCCAGATGCTCTGCTTCCCACCCAGCTCCCTGCTTGTGGCCTGGGAAAGCAGGAGGGACGGCCTAAAGCCTTGGGATCCTGCACCCACATGGGAGACCGGGAAGAACCTGGCTTTGGCTCAGCTCCGACTGTCATGGCCACTTGGGGAGTCAACCAGCAAATGGAAGATCTTTCTGTCTCTCCTCTACGTAAATTTGTCTTTCCAATAAAAATAAATCTTTACAGAAAAAACAATAGGTATGGCAGAAAAAATGTTTTAGACAATTTATGACCCAGTGACACAAAATATATTCCTTCAAATTTTGGGGGGCCATCATTTAAAAACCAGGGCAAAGGGCCAGCGCCATGGCTCAACAGGCTAATTGCTGACATCCCATAGGGGCCTGGTGTAGGCCCTGCCTGCTCCACTTTCTAGCGCCCTGCTTACGGCCTGGGAAAGCAACAGAGCATGGCCTAAGTCCTTGGGATTCCGCATCTATGCGGGAGACCCTGGCTCCTGGCTTTGGATGGGCTCAGCTCTGGCCATTTTGGCCATCTGGAGAGTGAACCAACGAATGGAAGATCTTTCTCTGTCTCTCTTGCTTTATGTAAATCTGCCTTTCCAATATAAATAAGTAAATCTTGGAGCCCAAGGCCAGCAGAACTGAGATCCCCAACAACCAATACAGAGATTCCTGTCTTGGTTCGGCATCTGGCCCAGTAGTTAAGATGCTGATGAAGACACTTGGGAATTACATCAGAGCCTTGCCCTGAGTCCTACCTCTGGCCCTGGAGGCCAGCTTCCCACAGATGCAGGTGTTGGCTCAAAAAGCTGGATCCTTTCACCCACGTGGGAGACCCGTGTTGAGTCTGCAGCTATTATGGGTATTCGGGGAGGGAACTAGTGGATTAGAGCTTTCTCTGTGTGTCTTCTCTCTCCCTTTATGGCTTTCAAAACAGAAAAAAATAAAACCATCTCATACTTAAGCAGTATTTTTAAGAAAAATACAGATGTGAATATAACTTTAATTAACAAGTTAAAATTTTCACAAGGGCTTTTTCACATGTAAAAAAACTTTTCATATAATTTTACTTATCTGAAAGGCAGAGAAAGAGAGAGAAAAACAGAAAGAGAGAAAGAGAGAGAGATATCTCCCATTTGCTGGTTCATTCCTCAAATGTTTGCAATAGTCGGGGCTGGGTCAGATTGAAGCCAGGAGCCAGGGGACTGGGTCGCCTATATGGGTGTCAGGAACTCAGCTACTTGGACTCTCGCCTGCTAACACAAGACACGGGGCTTATGTCAGAAACCGGGGTGGGAGGGGTTGGGGGGGGTTAGGGGGGATGCATTACAAAAAGCCACGAAGCAGTATGTAGTTGCAGAAGTAAGCACCCCTCCCACTTTTCTCCTGAGATTGCTATCAACATTTAAAATTCCCTCCTCCAAATTCCCAAGAAGACACCCAGTACCTCTTGGGTCTGATCTGCATGATGGTGACTCCGGTGAGTGCGTCTCCGTGAAGCACCGTGTGGATGATAGGGGCTGGCCCCCGCCACCTCGGCAGGCAGCTGGGGTGCACGTTCAGCATGCCGCTGAGGGAGGAAATGCAGAGGTTAGTCAGCCAGCTGCCTTCCCCATTGAGTCCCCGCCACCTCAGCTAACGAGCTGCTTTGCATCATTAGACTTTTCCCCCACATGGCCCAAGGACTGACCACTTCAATCTAATCCAGATCACCCAAAAGGAGAAAGTCAAAGGTCGGCTCAAGGTCTACTCTTTCATCCTAAGAAACCAATGAAACTTAGAAAAAGCTGTTCCACAACAGCTCATGACTTCCAGGGGTTCTTACTCTACAATGCACCTTACAAACGCAGACCGTGCTTAGGGCCACATGATCACCCTCAGTTCACTGAGCTCACATAGAGCATTCTTTTTTTTTTTAGCATTTAATTTTTTTTTAATTTTGACAATCTTTACATAGTTAATTAGGGTAAAAAGGTTCAAGGACTACAGGAAAGTGGATAAGACTAGTATTTTTTCCATATTGTTTCCTTCATGTTTAAAGGGGGGTATTTAAGGGAGAAGCCCACCCAATTTCCCACCCTCCCCAGGTCCCGGATGTAGGGCATGCTCTGAGGATCTTGCTCAAGTGGTTTTGATATTTCAACAGTTATGAATCGCTGCCAATCTTGCCACTCCACGCACTATGAGGTCTTCAAAAATCCATTGATCGACATAGTCCATCATAACTGAGATGGTTGGTTGACCTGTTCTGTCTTCTCTCTTTTCTTGGTAAGGGTTCTGAGTCCGGCATTTAGATTAGGAAGATCTCCAAAGAAACTTTGTCTGAGGTGCACATAGAGCATTTTTAAAGTAAGCTTCTAGAATCCCATCTAGCTCCACTCACCTTTGCTGCTTTTCCTAACACACCTCTCTAAGTGTTTTAAATACTAATCTGTACTTAGTTTAACAGTGTCTCTCCACCAGTACAACTAAGCAAATCAGCTGTGTAACACAGGAGCCCCCTGTGTGCAGGGGGCTGTGGACAGAGAAGCAGGCTGGGGATAACAGGTGGGAGGCAAGGTTAAGGTAGAACAGGTAGCCAATGTGGCCCAGCCCAAGTGTGGCCAGAGCCTCAAGTTCATGCAGGCCAACAACAAAGGTCTTTGCCTTTTTCTAAGTGAGATGAAGCAGCAGAGGTTTCCAAGAGGAGGGGTGGGGACCAACTTAGGCTGAGAGGGACTGCTTTGCCGGTGGGCTGGGTAAAAGACTGAGAACAGAAGCCGAGACGCGTTAGCTGGCCATCGCAGGGACACAGGTCGGGGTGACAGCAGTGAAAACCACCAGAGGTTCCAGGCAGGTCCTGATGGCAGAGCCAATCGTTATTTCCTGATGGGCTGGCTGGATCATGGGATGCATCTAGGGTTTGGAGTTTGGGGCCTACGCAGCTAGAAGCAAGGATGAAGTGTCCCTTCTTGAGATAAGGAGTGAAGGAGGAGCAGATGCTGGGCAGAGGTCAAGAATATAGTCTTGGGTACCTCGGACAGAAGGGGTCTAGGGAATCATCCCAGCAGAGCCAGGAGGGGGCAGCAGGTGGTAGGCAGCTGCAGTCAGAGGAGGTGGGCAGCAGGGACAACCCATCCATGGCATTTAAATACCAGGCCACAGAGAGCCACCAGGAACTTGCGTCAATTCATGCCACAAAGGCACACTTTTATTTTAAAAAAAAAAATGATCACTCAGGTTCAGATTATGACATGGTAAATGCCAGATTCCTTTATCAAAACCCAAGGTCACCCATCTGTATTTCCTCAGAACGCAAACTTACTAGGGAAATTTAAGAATAAGAGCCTCACTCAAAAGTCGGCCAAATGAAGCGACGACTCCCACATCGTAGTCCCCGGAGCCCACGTCCGGCCACTCGTGCACCTGCAGCTGAGTCTGCAGGGCAAACTGCTTCACTGGCAGGCCTCGGGGCGACGGCGAGGGCACCGTGACTACCTCCAGCTTGTCGATGAGGCCTTCCTCCTTGTTCTCCCTAAGTCAGAAAAATCAGGAGAAAAAAAAAAAAAGAGGAACAGCATGAAGGCAAGGACCCAACTTTACGCACTACTATTGAATTATCTTTGGGATGAACTCATGAAGGATTTGGGACCAAATGATTACAACAAACATGGAGGTGGCCATGTGGGCTAGTGGTTAAGATATTTGTATCTTAGGCCAAGAGTACCTGGATTCAAGGGACACTTTTGGCTCCTGACTCCAGTTTCCAGCTAAGGTGCACAAGGGGAGGGTGACAGTCCCAGGAGCTAGGACGCTGCCACCCAAGTGGGAGGCCTGGATTGAGTTCCCAGCCCCAGCCATTGTAGGCATTTGAGGATGCAATCAGTGGATGGGAAATTTTCCTGTCCCTCTCTCATTGCCAATGGAAAACACACACAAGTGGAAGCTTATTTAACCAACTTGAAAAGCCAGGTGCGGCGAGTGGCTACCATTCTAGAGAACTCTAGAAACACAAATGGCATGGACATTTTACACAAGAATAGTACATATACTATTTTGCCTTTTTTTCTTTCCACCTATTAGTGCTACATATATTATTGCAGGAGTCTTTTTTTTTGAAAAGATTTATTTATTTTCATTAGAAAGTCAGATATACAGAGAGGAGGAGAGACAGAGAAGATCTTCTGTCCCTTGATTTATTCCCCAAGCAGCCACCGATCTGTAACCAGGAGCCCGGAGCCTCTTCCAGGTCTCCCACGTGAGTGCAGGGTCCCAAGGTTTTGGGCCGTCCTCGGTCCTCGACTGCTTTCCCAGGCCACAAACAGGGAGCTGGATGGGAAGCAGGGCTGCCGGGACACTAACTGGTGCCCATATGGGATCCTGGTGCATGCAGAGAGGACTTCAGCCTTAAGGCTACCGTGCCAGGCCCAGGAGACTTCTTAAAAAATGGGCAAAACAGGGCTGGTACAGTGCCTCAATAGGCTAATTCTCTCTGTGGTGCCATTATCCCATATGGGCACCAGTTCATGTCCCGCCTCATGGCCTGGGAAAGCAGCAGAAAGAAGATAGCCCAGGTCCTTGGGACCCTGCACCTGCGTGGGAGATTCAGAAAATGTTCCTGGATCCTAGCTTTGGATTTGCTCAGCTCTGGTCATTGCAGCCATTTGGGGAGCAAACCAGCGGATGGAAGATCTTTCTCTCAGTCTTTCCTTTTCTCTGTAAATCTGCTTTTCCGATAAAAATGTTTTTAACAACATTTCTTAAAAGCAAAAACAGAACTACCTTACTTTTTTCTATAACCACAATTGCATAGTATTCAACACACCTTTTGAGGAGCTAGGAGAAATGCAATTCACGATGGGCCTGCTGGCAAAGCTGCCGCCAACATCAGTCCCTACCCGCCACACCAGTTCTGCAACAACTAAATGTGTGCCTAAGATGTCTGCTGTGTACCTTCATTTATTTGAAAACAGCTCTGGTGCCGACCGTGTCCTTTCCACCTCGCACAGTGGACAACACGAAGGAGACACGACCGTCCGTGCAGAACCGAAAGCCCAAAGGGTCCAAACTTGGAGGAGGATCGGAAGTCAGGAGGGAAAGGAAAGCGAGGTCCCACCCTGCTGTGCTGACGACCTTGGGCGGGGTGGCACGGGGTGCAGCCCCGCGGCCCTGCGCTGCACCTGCCGGGGGACCCGACCCGGCGCCCGGCCAGCCCGGCCAGCCCGGCCCAGGTACCTGGCGGCGTGCAGCGCCCGCAGCGTCTCGCGGGCGAAGTGGTCTGTGCCGAAGAACAGCACCCGCCAGGGCGGCTTCTCGCGGACACGAGCTTCCCGGCGGTCTTCTCCGCCGACCCCGGCCAGCGCTCGCCACGGGGGCCGCGGCCTCCGGCTCGCCACTCCGCTGGCCAGGCCGGGCCCCCAGCAGCTCCGCGCCAGGACCCTCATGGCCGCGGCCGGCCACGGCCCACCCCGCGCAGGCGCGCTGCGCCGCGTGAAGTCGCCGGAAGAGAAGGGCGGGGCCCGAGGCCATTGGGGGCGGAGTCACGTCAGGGCGGGAGGGGGTCGCCCGCCTGACTGATCGGAGGCGTGTTCCCGCTGTGTTGCAGCTAGTGAAACAAATTCGCATCTTGTAGAGTGGAAGAACTCCTGCTTGTCGCCTGGGAGGCAGCGCCACAGACGACCTGGGGAGGTCGGCCAGACCCAGGCCTCGGCGCCGCGTGCCAGGGGCAAGGACCGAGGCCGGGGCAGCTGTGGGCAAGCTGTGGGCAAGCTATTTCCGGGGTCCCGCCACTGCAGGGAGTGCCAGTCCGGGCCCGTCCGCGAGAGGACGCTGCGCACCAGCCTTTTGGAAAAAAAAAAAAAACATGCATGCATGAATGAATGAATTTTGCTGTTCGAGGCGTTACCGCCCAGTGCGGGTTCAGTGGATGACCATTGGGCTGGGTGGCCACAGGTGACCCTCTCTTCCACCTGCAGGTTCACTCCCCGAATGGCTGCATCCAGAGCTGAGCTGCTCTGCAGCCAGGAGCTTCTTCCAGGTGACCCACATGGGCAAAGGTTCCAAAGCTTTGGGCTACTTGACGAGTAGACCAGGGGATGGAAGATCTTTCTGTCTCTCTTTCTCTCTGTAAATCTGCCTTTCCAATAATAATAAATAAATCTTTAAAAATGTTACTGCAAGTATCTTGTATCGGTTTACGTTTAAAAAAAAAAATGCTGTGGGACCAGTGCAATGGTTCAACTGGCTAATTCTCCACCTTCAGCCACCAGGATCCCATATGGCTGCTGGTTGGTGTCCTGGCTGCTCCCTTGCCATCCAGCTCCCTGCTTGTGGCCTGGGAAAGCAATAGAGGATGGTCCAAAGCCTTGGGACCCTGCACCCACGTGGAAGACTTGGAAGATGCTCCTAGCCCCTGGCTTCAGGTCCTGGCTCAGCTCTGACATTGCAGTCACTTGAGGAGTGAACCAACAGATGGAAGGGTTTTCTGTCTCTCCTTCTCTCTGTAAATCTGCCTTTCCAATAAAAATAAACAAACCTTTTAAAAAATCTAGGCTAACAACATTCATCAAAAATGAATTTCCAATGTGAGACTACTTGTGTAGCCTTTCCCCTTACAGTTAGATTGTAATGAAATTTGGAGTAATTCCCAAGTTATGATGGGGTTATCCAACATGTCCTGATTACTACTGGGGCCAATGCTGTGCCTCATGTCCTGTCCCCCTGACTCTGACCCCTCAAGAATGTGCGGGTTGGGATTAGGTGTGCACAGTTCAACACCTAATGCTGACTTGCCAGATTCTTGGGCATTCCTCAGACACATCGCTGAGCAGTTTATCCTGAGAATGAAACTCCAGGGAGTGACATTTATGAAAAGGACTACGCTGCAAACAGCTCAGAGAGCCACAGGGAAAGGCCATAGACTTTGATTTTATTCTACTGTTGGACTCTGATTTGTTGAGTGACTAAAGCAGATATTTAGTTACACTGTAACCAGGAGCAAAGGGTCAAAGACACTGAGAGAATTAAGGATTGTACATAAAGGTCAATGACATCAAAAGTCTCCAGGGCTGAGGGTAGAAGGCGGACGATGCCGGTAATGGCTGCAGAAAGTTCTGGCAAAGACTACTTGCTTTGCCTTGTGTCACATCACTTCCCACCCAAAGTCAATACACTAATATGTTTCCAGCAAAATAGCTGTCTGTTGGAAAGTGTCTGAGAGTGACAATGACTCCCTTTGAATGCCTGGCATCCAAACTACTACAGGATAGAGACCTCAACGCCCTACTGAAATGAAATGCCAATAACTTTTTACTTACTTATCCTACTTTTAAAAAATTATTATTTTGTATTGAAAAGGCAGATTTACAGAGAGCAGGAGACACAGAAAGATCTTCCATCTACTGGTTCACTCACAAAGGGACTGCAATGGCTGAAACTGAACCAATCTGAAGCCAGGAGCTAGCAGCTGTTTCTGGGTCTCCCACATGGACATAGGATCCCAAGGCCTTAGGCCATCCTCTGCTTTCAGAGGCCACAAGCAGGGAGCTGGGTGTGAAGTGGAATAGCTGGGACTCCAACCGGTGCCCGTATGGGATCCTGACACTTGCAAAGTGAGGATTTCCCACTGAGCCATCATGCTGGGCCCTGATCCTACTTTTTTTTCAAAAAATTTCCTTCCTAGTCCCACCGTCTTGTTTCCCTGCTCTGGTTTTAACACAAAAGCAAGCCCCCAATGCTGGGCATTTATTGCAGCAGTTAAAATGTCATGTGGGGGCCCGGTGCGGTGGCGCAAGTGGTTAAAGGTCCTCGCCTTGCACGCCTGGGATCCCATATGGGCGCCGGTTCTAATCCTGGCAGCCCCGCTTCCCTTCCAGCTCCCTGCTTGTGGCCTGGGAAAGCAGTCGAGGACGGCCCAAAACTTTGGGAACCTGCACCCGCGTGGGAAACCCGGAAGAGGCTCCTGGCTTCGGATCGGCATAGTATCGACCCGTTGCGCTCACTTGGGGAGTGAATCATCGGACGGAAGATCTTCCTCTCTGTCTCTCCTCTCTGTATATCCGCCTTTCCAATAAATAAATAAATAAAATGTCATGTGGGGGGATGGAGGGTGGGGGCTGTAGTGACTCAATGGGGCTAATCCTCTGCTTTGAAGCACCAGCATCCCAATGGGCACTGGTTCATGTCCTGGCTGAGCCACTTGTGATCTCTGCTTCTGGCCTGGAGAAGCAGCAGGGATGGTCCAAAGCCTTAGGACCCTGCACCTGAGTGGGAGACACATGAAGACAGACTCCTGGCTCCTGGCTTTGGATTGGCTCAGCTCCAGCCATTGCAGCCCTTTGGGCAGTGAACTAGTGGATGTAAGATCTCTCTCTTTCATGTAAATCTGCGTTTCAAATAATAGTAATCATAATAAACACTAAATAAAATATCCTTTGGGACACCTGCACCCCATATTGAAGTATCTGACCTTGAGTCCTGGCTGCTTTGCCAGTTCCAGTTTCCTGCTGATGTGCGCCCAGGGAGGCAGCAGTGATAATTCAAGCGTTTGGGACCCTGCCACCCAGAGTAGTACCTGCACCGAGTGCCCCAGCTCCGAACTGCTGCAGGCATTTAGAGAGTGAATCAGCAGGTGTAAGCTTTCTCCATCTTTTTTTTTTTTCCTCTCCAGTTTGTTAAAAATAATAATAATAATAATAATAATAACAAAACCCTTAGAAGAAACTGATGATTTTGGCCACCAGTCCTGGTGTCAGCTGAGGAGGGATGGCCTGTCCCCAGGGGTGGAACAGCTTGTCTTGGAAATGCAGAGCAGTCAGCTCTCTCTAGAGGTCCTGGCTGGCTGACTGCCTGGCTTGCCTGCATCTGCTGCCTGGGGGTGGAGTTGGTGGGGGGAGATAGGGAAGCAGGAAGAGTCTTGCTGGTTGCCCCCAAGCTCAGGGAGGAACCCTACTTGAGCCCTGAACTCAGAGCTTAAAGTCAGGGGCCAGGACCCCAGACATTCGGTGGGTATTCTCTACTTTTCATCACCCCCACTTCTTTCAGAAAAGAGCTCTCTCTCTTCTCTCCTCTCTTTAACCTTATCTGGTAGAAGAGCTAAGACTGGCTGACCACAGATGAAAATCCACCACGTTTGAAGGGCTTGGCCTTTGTCATGACACACCGGCCCCTCCAGATGATCACTTCTAAAATGCTTTCCCTTTTGACTCCTTTGAGAACCTGTGCGCCTTGACAGGAAGTTTAAGTCTCAAGCTCAAGGGCACACACTGGAGCAGCAGCAAGAACGGGCAGGACCAGTAGCTGGTTCTGCCGCTGGGTTATTCACTTCCATCCAATGACTTGTCACCCAGCATCAGTCACAGCGCAAGTTCTGTTTCTGTAATAAACAGATGCCCCGGTGTTTCTTGTAGCATTCCAGAAGCAGACAGGAAGGCGGTCCATGAGAGGCCATTGGGGGTCCCCGATTCCTTGCACCTTGTGGTTGGGACTAGCAAACATTTGCTGTGAAGGACCAAAGAGGCTTTGAGATCCACGTACCCATTGTCACCGCTCCTGCATTGTGCTGTGGCAGCCACAGACCACATGGAACCAGCATAGTGTGTCCTTTCAAGCTTTTATTTACCAAGAACAGATCAGAGGCTAGCCCAGGCCCAGGGGCCAGCCCTTTAACAAGCCTGCTTACTCCCTAACACCTTTTCCATTGATGTCTTTTTCAAAACTAAACTGCACAGGTGGAAGTCAGACTATCTTTATGGAGAGGGTGACCAGAGGGGACATAACAAGATGGGTGGTTCTGGCAATGTTCCATTTCTCTTTAAAGTTTTTGCTTGTTTGAGAAGCACAGGGAGAGAGAGCAAAAGAAAGCAAAAAATAAGATAGAGACATCTTCCACCCACTGCTTTCCTCCCCAAGTGGCCACAGCAGCCACATCTGGCCAGTGGAGCCACTACTTGAGCCATCATTCACTGCTTTCCCAGGAGTACTAGCAGGAAGCTGGATTGGAAGCAGAATAGCCTAGACTCAAACTGGTACTCCAATGTGGAATGTGGACTTCCCAAGCAGCAGTTTTACCCACTGCACCATAATACCAGCCCCAAAGCACACTTCTTAAATAATATAGGAGACCCCCTTGGGTGAGGGCATTTAAGCTGAAGCCAGAAGTATTATGAGGAGGCAGATACTCAAATACCAGGGTGGGGAATAAAAAGCCCCCTCACACTTCTCTCTCCTGCTGGCTGTCCTCCTCTCCATTTGCTAGGCAGGGAAATTAGGGACTGAAGAAGTCAGGAAAGTGGGTCTGAAGGAAGGATCGATTGATCCAGAAGTGAGATTTGAAGCAACGAGGCAGGGAGGCTGGGTGGTGAGCGTTCCTCTCTTTGTGTACATTTCCCTCATGGCACTGCTGTCCTGACGATTGGCGCTTGTGGTGCACAGTCTGGCCCCATGG